AAGCAGTGGTATCAACGCAGAGTACTAGCAGGCTTAGAAGCGAAGTGCGACGAAGTAAAAAGCAAAACTGACCTCAACTTAGTTTATAATATAAGGCAAAACTCAACTTTCTCGTCGCTAATACGGGGCCAGAAGAGATTAGAAGCGAAGTGCGACGAAGTAATCTTCTATATCGTACGTCTCGAATACAAGGTTTTAGGTGCCGCAAGAAATGCTTATCATTTGGTCTAAGGTAGATTACCGTTACCTTCATTTCATTTGCACAATACCTAAAGAATCAGGCGTATTGAGCTATGGTCTGCAACTCTGTGGTCTTTGATGGCTGAATTGATCGGACCATCGAAGCGCTGACATGATCTTATAATGATTGCCCAGCTGTTGCAAAACGAGTGAAAAGATGTTTTCAAGCGCTTGGTAACAAATCCCATGATTCAACTATGCAAAATCTAAATTCCTCACACCATTTAGGTAAACAATTCGGGCTTTAAAAGCTGCGGGTGCAATGGCAGAATACATCTACTGCTTTCACCTACTCAGTTGTCACATATTTCTTTCTAGTAACTTTCAATAAGATCTGAAGGCTTTGTGATGTCAGATTACTCGAAAATTCACTTGGCAATGTTCAACAATAGGTTTTTGGGTGCGTTAAAAAAGCAGTTGCGCAATAGTCGGCGGAATTAGAAGCATCATTAAGGACTACAATTTTATTAAATTACGTGCGGCGCTTCTTTTACATTCGAATAAAACTTCTTATACATGTACCCAATCTATAACATTCTTAGCATCTTAGAATTACATTAGTCCGAATACGCTTGCATATCACTCTGCTAATCAGCGCTTACCGTTATGCTTGCCGCTTGAAATCATTGTCAACATGTTGTCACGTCAATATTCCACTCTTTCACCTCTGTATTGCAATTTTAGAATGAAAACGCTCTTATTGCTGCTGACTATCGGAGGCACTCTCTGTCTCTCCGTCCACAATTCTTACTATCCTTACGACTACAACAATAAACAGGTTAGCCATGTAATCAAGAATCTCGAAAAATTTCAAAAGTATAAATATATTCACGAGATACCAAAAGTAGAATGGATACGGCTTCAATTACTCTAGTTACTTTTCTGTTATGTAAATTAGGATAAATATCAGTTGCTAACGCTAATTGGATTTATACTAATCAAATCTAAAATAATCAGGAAAAAGAGTGTTATATTTAGAACGGAAACAGTCACAGCAGTGCACTGAACCAGCTTCTAGCCAAAGCTCCCCCTCAAGCTATCAACGCCTATCTTCAAATCGTACAGGTACTCGTAAGGTGTTACTAATCATTTGCGAATAGCAGAAGATGTTAAAAACATTATTATTCTAGAACTTTTCCCAATCACTCGCCTATTTGAGGACAGCCTTTGAAAATTGGGCTAAAACTTACGGACTTGAGGTACTGCTCTACAATTCAAAGACGATTCACAGTACACCCAATGATTTCAGCAAGAATACAGAAGGTTTCTAGCAGCGTCGCAAAAGGAAAATGAAGAATTCAAAAGAGCCATTAGTGAACTATATCCCATGCTCACAAGGTTTCTCACTGACTACATGAAATATGGAAATGACAGGGTGCTTTGCGTTTCCGTGTAACGGGTTTTCTGTAAATTGTCAAGTTGCAGCGACAATCAATTATGCTCGCCTTCAACAGAACCGCGTCACTGACAAATAGAGCTGACAACAGACAAAATGAAGTTGTTGAATCCATAATAGACTTGTACCTCTCATCATTGGCTGGTGCTGGGACCAATACAAGAGGTGAAATCAAGGTGTAGATGACGAGAAGCAATCAAATTTTTTGTGTCTTTTCCTAGGTAATGGATACGCAGGAAACTCTGGCAGTTACTGGGCAGGCAACGGCATGTACAATGGAAACAACGTCATATACAATGGACCTAATGGCGGCGGACCATCGAATGGGTGGGGTTCAGGAGTCAATGGAATGGGATACGGTGAGATTAGAAAGGGGTGATAAATCCAAGTTAATGCTTCTGGTGTAAAGTTCTCTGAAAGGAAAAAGAGACTAAGTGTATGATAGCAAGTCTTTGCATACATCATCGGCTCCCAGATTCGTATGGAGGCGGATTGCGGACCTTTTCTATTTATAAGGATAAACTTGTTAAACCTCTTTACGTTACAGCATTTTTTCGTACTCTCTCATAAACTTCATCCTTATAATCAGGAAGAGTCTGCATTGCGCCTTCACACAAATAGGGGTGCCAATCATACTTTGAATGTCTTAAAAATAACCTTGATTCCTTTGCAGTTGATGTAAGAATGCCTGCTGGAAACTTTGGTTACAACAACGGTAACAGCTACACTACTAATCAGAGACAAAGTGGTGGATGGATTCCAAGCACTCTAGAATGGCTTCACAGGCAATAAGTATGCAGCGATGGACACCCTGCTCTGCTACTAGTTTGCGAACAGCCCTTTCCACTATAAATGTATAATAGATAATGTAACTACTTCCTACATGATTCTGTATAGTCAGTACAAATAAACACTTATGACAGTTCGGACCCTGTACAGATACAAAATACAGCATCAAAAGAAGCGAAATACGAGAGCATATTATATTCTAAACAATTTCGTTTGTATGGCTAAGATTTGGAAGCACACATGTGATCATTTTTGTCTGAAACAGAACAACAGCTTGCTTTTATCGCCTTGAATGATGGAAATGCTCAGTCTCCAAAAGGTATGGCTGCAACAGCAGTGGAGCAGCGCTTCAACGTCTTCTCACAGCGACTCCGGTTCATACTATTAAGTGTCAGTCATTTTACCACTAATTCTATTACTATTAGGTTGGTGCAAAAGTTCTTTCGCACCAAATTCAAAAATTCATAACTTGTTGAATTCTCAACGGATCTGTAATATCTGAATTTTGTGTAAGAGAGGAACTCATGCTCTTTGCAACTGTGCTTGAACTGTTCGTTAATGTATACAAATGAATTAGATAGAAGCTCAAAACCAAAATCACTCAAAATTTGAATATTTCGTGTAGGGTCATAAAAAATCGGAAACTTGCAACAAAAATCGGAGCAGACAGTGTTGTAGGTTCTTTCACAAGCTCTTTCCAACAGTGCAAAGATTGCACCGATTGAGCGTTTCTATGAAAAGTTATGATTTTCGAGCAAGCAATACAAAAGGGCGAATTTGATTGAAATTCATAACTTTTCACAGAGGCGCTCAATTGGCGCAAATTTGCACTGCTGGAAAGAGCTTGTGAAAGAGCCTACAATACTGACTGCTCCGATTTTTGTTGCAGGTTTCCGATTTTTTATGACACTACACGAAATATTCAAATTTTAAGTGATTTTGGTTTTGAGCTTCTATCTCCTTCATTTGTACACATTATATCGCGGATCGTGATGCAATTGAGCAAGATAATGCATGAGAGTTGCATACGATGACCCCTCAATCCAGGCTAAGACGTTTACGGATCGCCATGCTTGCTAAATGAAAAAGCTAGTTGCGGAATGCCAAGGAATGAATCCACGATGCCAGATGCGCATTCCCTTCGACAAAAAGACCTCGGTCTACAGATAAAAACGATTGCAGCTGCAGGAGCGATGGAGCCAGCAAGCGAACGTCTATATATACTTAGTCATTATTACTCATGCATTTTCCATCACTTACACTCATTACTTGTGTTGCCTTACTATCCGCTCATTCCTTGTACGTAGGATAGCACATTTAACACTCCTATCGTATGTTTTCTATCTTGTCTTGTACATTTCTTATAAGTAGTCCAAATTCTATATCAGGATATCCAAGATATTGTTTTGGTTTAACTTATCGTCATCACAGTTCCAACTATTTGTTAGTGATTTCGTCACTTTTTCATTTTGATGCTTCGTTGTTTATGCTTGTGTATATCTCAAGCAGAATGAGGGTTTGATTACCCAAGTTTGAGGTAATCGACAATAAACGTGTGTCGTTCGTGTGGTGGTGGTTGGTGTGGTTCACTTGGCAAGGTTTTGGCAACCTTTTTACATTAACGGACAGTTCAATCATAGTTGCAAAAAGCATGAGTTCCTCTCTTATACAAAATTTAGATCTTGCAGATTCGTTGAGAACTCAACAAGTTATGAATTTTTGAGTTTTGGTGCGAAAGAACTTTTGCGCCAACCTAATACTTTATTTGTATGTGTGTTTTTTTATTTATAGTCAATTGCTGCACAATGCGTGGAACAAATCTTATTAGGTTTTCAGGAAAATGTTGGCACTTTTTATGTGCTTGCAATGGAGCCGTAACCCAAACGAAGCCCAAAAGCAAGGTCTATAAGATCACACCCGAATATTTGCGTAGAGTTTGCTGCACATAACGTTCGGACCAAAATCTAAAAGAATTTGAATGCATGAACAGTTGAGAAAAAAACCGTATCTCCGTCTGATAAAGTCCTGCGAGTATCTTACTTGCTCAGCGTATACTCTCTACATCTGATATTAATCTGTAAATTTTTTTTACTCTTTCCACGGCTAGAAATGGAGAAAACATGATTCTCGTTGCCAAAGCTGCGCTGGGCTGATTCCACGCAGGTAATTCTACAATACGAACTTTGATAATTCGTACTTCTAGTCTATTTTGTTATATGCACGTTTCTCGAGTTTTAGTTATGGAAAATTATGCAAGTTTACAGATGAAAAGTAAATGCGGAATAATGTATATGCGCGAGTAAATAAAAAGCTCGTAGGACTTATCTAGAAGGTGTCACGATTTCTTTCCTTTTTGATTTTGGCTTCAAACTTTAGGTGGAATAGACTTTGAGTAAATGTTGCGTGCATTCTTGCAGAGCTTTTCTTGCTCTATGAACAGTAGGTCTCAGCACAGATGGCTTACGAAGCAGGCTGGTTATCATTTCGCCATGAAAGCAAAGAGATATTGTCTTTAAGGGTTCGGGGTGGGGCTCCGAAAAAAATGAATGTATCAGCTTAGCATGATAACTGGAAAAATCGCCGACCTCTTTTTGCGAAATCGGAGTCTCAGAAGTGAGAATTCTATGAGAAAAAACCTTTTGATTACGCAAAGTAATTTGAAACTGAATTTCTGTACAAAATCAATTCAGTAAAAAAATCATTAGCGTGCCAAATTTACGCCCATCAACCCAAATTCTTGCAGCCGTGCCGCTAGAAACGAAATTAATTCTATCGTTATTGTTTATACACTTCTAGCTCACACCCTTCCCTCTTCAAGCGCGAGAATTCAAAATGTGTCCGATAGAAATGAAAGGCTTACTTTTTTAAGCATGAAATAATAATATGACACCAAAATTGGTGTGTAGATGCGCCCATCGAAGAGATGAGGAGGTAAGGAGATGGGAGATGTCATTAAACATGGAAAATTATGAGAAAGTTATATTAACATAAAATATGGCAAACTATTTCTGACCTAGCTGGCTTTTGAGTCACCTGTTGAGCCACCCGAAATGAGTCAAAAGAAAAAGTCATAGGTTTCTCTCTTATCACATATTTTTTACAAACTTTCCACATAAATTTAATCTACATCCAAAACGCCACAAACTAACTTATAACTTCCTCCAATCCTCTCCTCTCCACTAGTTGCACACCTCTAAAAATTTTGATGGCAGCAACAATCCTACACCAACGATAAGCAATCGGTGCTTTGCCCCATATCGTAAATATAAGCTGCCAGCTCTAACAGTGGAATGCCTAAAAACTGGAGAAAGAGATTGGTGCGATATGTTCAACCAAACGGTAGGGGTTTTTTGGGGACATTGAGATTCAAAGCAGGAGCAAAGCTCCTTGCAAATAGCAGCTATAAACAAACGCAGTGAATTACAATCATAAAACTTTATCGAGCTTTGCATGCATAATTTAGATATTATTTGGGAATAAAGAAAGATGTATTATCAGCGTTGTCTGAATCACGTGTGGAGAAGTACTTATTCAACAGTCACCGATTTGGCCAGATTTCTTGGACGGTCCACCTGTAATGATGGAAATTCAGTATTCTCTCAGACAAATGACCGGAACTTCCGCAGAGCGCTTGCGGAAGTTCCGCCGGTTCACCTGCGGAAGTTCCGCCGGGTCACCTGCGGAAGTTCCGTAAACGTGCTGCGGAAGTTCCGAGATGAGATCCTGCGGAAGTTCCGAAGAATGCCAGCAACAACAGCAAAAGAGAACACCGAAGCGAGATTTGAAACTCACTCTATTGACTGTGAAACCCACCTACTAACCTCTACGCTACGGCCCAAATGTTCAATAATGCACTCTAGTTGTTGGCGAGGCAACATCACGAGACAACACCTTCAAAGTCCTGCCAAAGTCCTGGCAGGCCAAAGTGCTGCGGAACCTCTGGCATTTTTCGGAAGTTCATTGAGTTTCATTGAGCTTCCGCAGAACCTTCTTCAGTTTTGAAGAAGGTTCTGCGGAAGTTCCGGTTTTCAACCAGTTTGGCATGAAAATCCCACGGAAGTTCCGATTTTCAACGTTTTCATTTTTGCAGTAGTGAACAAAATCCCGCGGAACTTCTGCAAATTTAACTTGTCCTGCGGAAGTTCCGGTGATTTGTCTGAGCTGATGCAAATCTCCCTCCAATTAGTTAAAATGACAAGAAAGTCAGCAAATAGTCAAATCTGAATCGGTTCATCCTTTTCTTTCTCTAAGACGGAAGAAAAGATAGAAATGTAGCACTCATCAAACTATTACTGATTTAAGTATGTATTAGTTTATAACAGAATCTATGCAGATTACGCTGATATTTGATTTGGATCACTGTAAATTTTCACAAAAATAATCTTTTTGTGTGCAATGAAAACTACTCTATCAACAAGCTTTAAAATTCAGCCTCATTATTGTGTCGTTCTTGCCTCATCGAAAATAGAAAATTGTAAATTTTTTTCTCTATAACTTTCATTTCGAGTAACCATAACCGGCTACTAAATGTACTACTATAGCACACTACAGTCATTGTTCCTAACAGTTGTGCAGCAGCGCACTGGATTTCACAAAAGATAGCTAGACATGAAAGAAAAGGTAAAATCATTTTCAATTTCTCCAGGGCAAAGATATTTTTTGGACATTCCGTTTTACCAATGAAGAGAAAAAATAGCATGTTGTAGTACTATTAAAAACTTTAGCCTCTCTGTATACAGCGCAATCTCTGCAAACGCTTTGCGCCCAGGGTTTTATACGGAGCAGAACGATGCAGTGGCCCTTTAAGCCTGTTTCGAATTTCAGTTGGAAAACTCCTAAAAGTTTTGCTCTAAGGTGCATTTTCTATACAACTTGCTTACACTTGCAAATATGCGGAAAAGTCCTATATTTCGCGATGAAGTTACAAAAAATGTGAATAGAGTATCAAACTTTGTCTTGAGTTTCGGCACCGAGTTTAAAATGAGTTCACCGCTCTTGAAACGAGAGATGCAAGAAGCTAGCTTTCAGATAGCACTTAAAAAATTCTAAATTGATCCAAAACGGCACTCAAGTATGCATGAAAAACCTGCTCAGTTGCGTTACAAGATAGTTTATCACTCTCTTTCAAAGCTTGGACGTAGGCCTCTGCACAACGACTGAAGTAGAAATAAGTGGATGCCAGCAAGGATTGCACAGAACTTTCCAGAAAAATAATTAGGGAGCGTAGGAGTTTCGAGACGTTCGGCGTTACCTAAGCGTGATCTTTTCTACACAGTCAAAGATCTTGCAGAAAAAAAACATGCAGAATATGTCTATTATTTGTTTACGTACTAATTTTCGGATAGTCATGCGATAAATGACGGTCAAAAAGAATCTGTTGACATGATTTACTACTTTCCTTCCTGCACGCCCTTTCAGTATAATGTCTTGTCCCATTTAGATCTCAGAACAACCTTGGAGCACCAGATTTATCAGTAAAATTTGAGATTGATCATCTATATTTTAGAGGAGTAGTGAGAGGTTCTGGAGGGATCTTATGCTGTACAAAACATAATCACTTACATTTTGTCCGTTAAGCTCAGCGATGTGATAAGCAAGCAGCTGAAGTGGTATGACAGTCAACACATTTTGTACGCAGTCAACTGTTTTTGGTATCCTTAGGATGTGCTTCATGCCGCTCAAGTCCTGAATTGAGGGAATCAAAGTTCGCTCTGGTACAGCTCTTGTACTAGATCTGTGGAAAAGTCTACCGATTCAGGAACACTGGCGTCAGCAATGATAAATGGGGCGCCTCTTCGTGCTACAACCTGCTGCAGAGCGTTGAGAGATTTCTGGAACAACTTTCAATGAAGCACAATTTCTCTAGATAGTAAGCTCTAGGACGAACCTTATAGACCGAGTCATTGCAGATAACCATGCAAATGCGTAAATTCTCATCAACCATGGCTAATGGACCATGTTTCAGCTCACCAGACATGATGCCTTCGCAATGCAGGTAGGAAAGTTCCTAGAAAACATTTTTTGGAAAAGGCGAGAGTTATGAACTTTCTCATAGTACGAGTAAGATACCTTGATTTTCAGGGCACCTTCTAGACATGTAGCAAAGTTGAAACCTCTTCCCATAATGAGTAGTGACTTCTCCTTGTAAATCTCTTTGGCAATAGCCAAAACTTGTTCGTCTAGTTGCAGTACTTCACGAATGAGTTCTGCAAAAAAATTCATGATTTGATTGAATTTTTATGAAATACTACAATGGGCCCACGTTAAATTAGTCCCGCTACGAGGATTCTCAGAGTAAAAGTTATGGAAGAATTTTCACAAGCAACTTGCCAGGCAGCCTATTAAGATCTTGAATAATCTCCCTTCTTCTGTTCATCATTGAAATGCGGTCGTCCGACAAGACCAAAGCAAACATTAGGAGTGATAAGATTTGTGAAGTGTACGCCTGAAAAGCACTACTTCCAGAGCTGAGGTGTGGAAAGCTGATAAGTGACGTCAAAGTGATTAAAGGGTATGTTAGCGTCTAAAGTTGCGCGTGCCAGCGCCGTTCCAGCGTCGTGCCAATATATGCGCTCCCGGTATTGACACATTACGATATAGCCTAACTCAACGCTGGAACGCCGCTGGCACGAGCCACTAAAAACGTGTCCTTAAGTGATATAGTTTAGGGTAATTTCTGTCTAGGATACTGAAATTTTTTGGGATGTAATTACTGTAGAATCGAGCACAAGTGAAAGTGCGCAGATTGAAAGAGACACCTTGGTAGAGGCAACTCCAATCTCTGGACCTGCGTTGATATGAACACCACAGTGGGTTTCACGACAGATGGAAGATCCAACAGCATTCGTAATTCCAATCAGCAGCGCGCCGCGAGGTTTACAGTATCTAAATTGTCAGCAATTCCCAAAGTAAGTGCGAGTGATAAGACACATTTTGATGCACCAACCTCAAAGCATTCAAAGTATCAGCTGTTTCACCGCTTTGAGAAATGAAGATGCAAACATCATCACGGAAGATCGGCGTTTTGCGATCTAGGAAATCTGACGCCAATTCCAGAACAACAGGCAGTTCTGAGAGCTCTTCTAGGATCTGAAAAATATAATATTTTTCACTTTAAAATCTACCAAATTCTGAGGAATGCTGACTTGACGACAAGCAATAGCGGAATGGTAAGAAGTGCCGCAAGCGATCATGATTAGACGACGGCATCTTCTGATATCAGCAAGATAATCCTGAAAGAGCTCATTTGGAGCACAATAGCGTGGAAGGTTTTATAACACCTTCAGTCCTCCTAACACTACTTCCCCGTTGGGACGAACACGCCCTCTCATTGTGTTAACAACGGACTCGGGTTGTTCGTAGATTTCCTAAAAAGCTATTTTTCTCATAATCTGTGTTTAAAAACTGTAGATTTTTCAGAAATCAAGAGGGTACCTTTTGCATGAAAGTTTTGAAGCTGCCTTTCATTATCTGCTGCAGTTCCAAATTCAGACTTTGTACTTCTCTGGTTTGCGTATTCTCCGTGGCAACTCTGCGAGAGATGCGATGAATGGAGAGCGCTGGAAGTTTTTCTACTTTTTGACTTTTGCGAAGATCATGTCACTCCTTCAAAACCATTTCGACTATGATGCGAGTCAGAACTTTTAGTCAGAAATTTTAAGACTATGCTGCTCAAGGAGCATAGAACACAAAAGCTCGAATTTTCGCGGTTCTTCCACAAATATTTTTTGCTCGCAATTCATCATTTTTACGTGATAACAAAATTAGCAGTTCTTTACTTTCCATACGTGGCCCTTCAGGACTTTGCTAATCGCCCTGCATAACTTCATTCATGTTGTATTTATATATAAGTAGAGTTTAGGTTACAACTTGATCCACACCTCCATCCTCTACCACTGCAACATCGTCATCCTCCAAGAAGAGCACTTGTTTGGTATGCTCAACAATCGCGGCGGCATCCGATGCAACGAAGTATTCCACCTGAGCTAATTGTAAAAGTGAAGCATTGTGCACTTGCTGCGTACTTCCCAGTCCTCAGAGTCGAATGTTCTTCCGGGACCACCGCGTGATCGATCTAGGAAGTGTGCAGAGCGAATGCCTGAAAGGTTTATAAGTGAAACCGAGCGAGAAATGACAACCTTTCTCTAACTCTAAAATTTTCTACTATAGATCGGGGAAAACATGTACCTGTAGAGAGATCAAGTGCGTTTGGAGTCTCCGCAAATGATTCATCAGTAGATGGTCTGCGCACTAAAACAAAAATTCTGATTAATAAGCTTTATACGCTGTGACCGAGCATACTTACAGTGTGTGGCTTGAGTCGAAGCAAAGCGGCGAGCTGAAATAGGGAAATTCATAAAGCAACTTTTGTCCTGATCTGATTTCTAGGCGGCGCCGCTTTATGGAGCAAAGCTACGCCGCATTTGCCTGTGGTATGTCCTAAGGGCCCTTTGCGTTGCGTTGATCCTAATTGCAGTCGTAGAGGAGCTAGCGCTACCGAGCGGGTTTAACCATTTTCCTCATCCTCCATAGATAAAGATATCAAAATATGAACGATAAACGCATGCCAAGGGCAAATCAAATATTGACTGAGGAGGAAGTGTCCGCAAAACAAGCCAAGAGAAAGTAATAGATGAAAGAGTTGATTTCTCTTAGAAAGTCATTGCCGGAAAATTTATATTCTTTTTTCTCTACTAATTCGTTCTACTTCTCTTAAACACTTTAACTCAAATCCAGAAATGGATCCAGATCCAGCCTTGATTCATCCCTAGAAATTGTATTTTTTTTGAATTGCAGTCTTCTTTGTCTTCTTTATTTATACAGTTTGAACATATCAGGTCATAGTAGTAGGGAATATCAGGCAGTAGGGCTCAATCCGCTGGCAGGAGCAGCGCTACTCCTGCGCAATTAAAGGCGACGCAACGCAAATGGCCCTCAGGATATACCGCAAGGAATTGCGGCGTAGCTTTGCTCCATAACGCCTGCCCCCCTGATTTCTATGACGCAAGACTCACTCCAATATATATTTAGAAATTATATCCAAAGTATCTTATCTGTTGTCTTTCTATCTGAATATTTACAAATGTATTTACCTTTACTGAACGAAACGGGGAATTGGCTAGCTTGGAGATTTTCATTATTAGTTTTGATGCCAATGAGTAACGGCGATCCACGGCGAGTCGCTACAAGTTGGCCGGGGAATTTTGATGATTTGAAGGCCAAAGCAAATGCTCCTTCCTGTAACTCCCGTCAAGATACTTATAGGGTTTTTGATTTACTTTACTTCACTTTCGCTTACTACTTTCTGGATGCCAAAAGAAAGATTTCAGAAACAAAAAGCAATAACAATAATAGGCCATACCAGCTGCTGTATGACAACTTCCACCAGCTGTCTGAAAGAGAAGTCCGGGTAGCGATCATGAATATGTTGTATGAGTTTCGCTATCACTTCGGTGTCTGTCTCCGACTGAAGAAAAGATCAGCATCTTTTTGCCTTAGACTATCTGCAACCTTCCTCACCTCAAATTTATGTCCTTTCTTTATGAGATACTCTTTGATCTCACGGTAGTTAGTGATGATTCCATTGTGTACAATCATAAACTCTTAAGTGAAAAATTCTAGCTGTGGCTCGGCAATTTTACTCCAAAACTGACCGTTTCTCTCGTTACTTCTCTGCGGATGGCTATTCACATCTTTGGGTGAACCATGAGTGGCCCATCGTGTGTGGGCAATTCCACAATGAATATTGTAAGTCATATCCATATTGAGAGAGTCTGATGATTCTGGAAAGAACTACTTAAGGCTACAATGAGTGTTTCTGCTAACGTTGAGTGGAATAACCCTATTTTCGGATGGATAGATCAAATGGTTTTCGGCGCTATTTTGACAGCCAATAGTCAACCAGCTCGCTGGTAGTAATTACGATAACATGAATTCATATCTAGAGGCTCAGTTTGCATTGAAAAGTTTGGTTCATTTGGTTATTTTGGTCCACAAAAATCCATACGAATTGGTTTCTATTTGCTATATCTACCTTTAAACTACAGGTGTTCGTTAAATTTCGTAAAAATGAAAAGTAACACCTATGGTTTAGTTTTGGAATATTTCTTTTGATGAAAGACTTTTACTTCGCTCATGCACGTATAGCCTATTCCGGTTAAGCTTGCCCCGCTAACCTTTGATCGAGTCCTCCAAAGCGGAAACCTTGCCAGCTTTTCTGAGTAGTAGAATCTCTTTATGGGGTGAATCCGGGTCATTTCCACCATCGATAGCAATACCTACCAATCGACTTGAGTAAAATATCAAGATGACTGACTCGCGAACTAACCTGCCGAATCATATCCTCTGTACTCCATTCGTTGCAAGCCTTTGATGAGCACATCGATGATTTCGCTACGTGTTTTTGGGGTTAGGAAGTTAAGATAAGCGAAGATACCACACATGCTTCACCTCTGCAACTGCCTTTTTCTAGTCTAAAGCTCAAATAGCCATAAAAGATGTAACAGAAACGACGTTAGGTTAATCTGCCGCCAGCAAGACTGATAGGCAGAGAGCGGGAAAAATAAACGATTTTTTCATGATCTTTAGGATCGAGATCACTGCTGCATTCTCAATGCATGTAAGGGTGTTGACATTCTATAAAACATTTATTATGATATAGCAAAGTTGATGCGTAAGTTTTTTCTAATATCTTGCCGGAGAAAGCTCATAGATTGCCGTAATATGTATTAGTATCAGCCAATCTAAGACTGGAATTCTCGAGAAAGCTGTTGCACAAGTTGCCTAGCACTCTTTCTACTTCCAAGTAGAAGGAGTGCTACTCAAGACGACATAAAGCACTGTTCCCAGATGAAGAGTGTACAAAGCGTTCTTGAGTATCTTAGTCTGGAATATAAACTTGATCGAACGCAAACGTATATTTATACTTGTGCATAGCAGGTAAAATATTTTTAAATGTGAAAAGCGTGGTATTGTCACACGAAAACACAGCGTTAACTCCTCTCGCTCTTCGAAAAGATTGTACAGTATGGTGTGCCATTTTTAGCTAGGAACTTCATAGCATCTCACCTTTTACACTTTTCTTGTTCTGAGAAGTACATCCACTTGCGTTAGTATTACAGCCGTCAACTTGCGCTGATCATTATGTTTGGAGAGCTTTTCCGATTGTATCTAACAAGTATCACCTGGAGTTGCTACTAAATCGTAGTGTTGCGAAGAGACGAATGGAATTCTTTCGGGGGGGGGGGGGGGGGAAATCCCAAGAGCAACAAATGACAGCCCTTTTGTATCAGCGAAAAACGTTGATTCATTGTTTCAAATAGGAGGAATTCGCAATTGACTCAGGCACTAAACATAACAAAATGCACCTCAAAATATATGAATCACTTCTTGACATTTGTCACGGCAATCATTTCATTGCTATGAAGAATTCGAAATTATCGACGGATAAACTCCCTGGCAAAGTATTGATACTTCTTGTATTCGGATGACCTTTTAAATAGAGCGGTGGTTACAAAGAATAAGAGAGGTATGGTGCAAGCGATAATTAAGTACGTTAAAAAGGTAAATTTTGCTAAGAAATTCGATTTCCAGCTTCTTGTTGTTTCGTACAATACCGCTCATAATTCGTCAGAAAAGTCGCCGCACTCCAGCGGAGTGCGGCCACAATGCGCTGCAGTGTGGCAGGGAGCAGCGGAGTGCGCCGGAATCGTCGCATCACCATATTTCGCTTCAGAATGGACATATTCTGGATCCAAGGACACCATTCGATTCAGCTCAGCGAGGCGCATCATCTGGTTTATAGAAGTGCCACAGTTGTCAGGATACGATGAGTATACAATAGACAGTAGTTTTCGCTAAATTCTTCAGATTTTTGTTTGGTTGGATTGTCCAGTGTGCTAAAAACAATAATGCATTGGTTTGCTGCTAATGGCACATTGTAGAGATATTGTAGGAGTATGGTAGAGAGTCACTCTGATGGATTTGTTCTACGACCAGCTCGAGGTATAACACCGCTCAATGTGCAAAATTTCCGTGAACGTCCCGGGAATCCGGTATTTCCGCAAATCGCGACTTTCCCAGAATTCTGCGAAACCACGGGAATCACGCAAACTAGCATAACTTCCTTCGGAATGAATATATTTTGAATCCGGAAAAAGCACATGTTCAGCTTGTCAAGGCAAATCTTTTGATATACAGCTTGCCCTCGATATTCCGTTTCCAGTTTTCTCAAATTCTTCTGTGGTCCTTTCGCACAGATGCAACGTAGCGCTTATCCAGCATAAAAGATTCCAGTGAATACTATTCGATAGTAATGATCTTGTAGTTTACTGTGCGCTAAGTTTTAGCCGCAGACTTCTTTCCAGAAAGGATAGAAGCGTTGATGATTTCCGGAAAAATCAGGCGTTTCCAAATTCTACTCCCCTTAACTTCCTTCGGAATGAATATATTACGAATCAAAAAAGCTTTGTGCTCAGTTCATCAGGGCAAATCTTTTGATGAACAGCATGTCCTTGATATTCCAATTTCAATATCCTCAAATCTTTCTGTGGACGTCTTTTCGCAAAGGTGTAAAGCAGCGCGCATTGCTCCTAGTAGACTCCAAAGAACCGTTCGATATTACTTCTTCCGTATATTAAAGAGCACCAAAAAGTAACCGTAGGCCCTTTCGAAAAGAGGTAGAAGGGCTAGCAATTGTGGAATAATCTTGTCGCCCCAAATTCTACTCGTCATAACCCTAGATTACGAAGCTATCTTGCGGAGCAGATATAATTTTCGTAATCAGGAGGTCAGATAACTCCTATGAGCAAGTTTTCGGGAAACTTCGGGTTATTTGATCTTTTTCGCGTTTCACGCTCTGAAGCTCGCCAGTGGGTTAGGGTCGAAATGTTGATGATTTTGGTTTGAAAGGAAATTTCGCTCATAGAGGTTTTCGAACATGCTGTTTATGAAAATTGTGGTTTCTGTCAAGTACAGGGTCTTTTTGCACAGATATGGGGAGGTAACTGTAACGGTCACAAAAAAAAATCGTAATTTCGCCTGCACCCATCGCTACATGTCAGAAAACTTGCCTGCTTGCTTGTCAAGAAGTGATTCATAGTCGAAAACGAAGATTCTAAAGGCAGTTTCAATAGCAAAAATTTTTTGCTTCTTATAAGCCACATTTGCGCTTTTGTCGACGGCTACATACAACATAGCTGCAGAAGTTGAAGATGTTGTATTGTGCGAAGCATTGTGGTAGTCCGCTTCTGTCATCTAGTTCATCGAAACCAAAGGATATGTCTCTTTAGACGGATTATGTACTTCACCGTTACTCCTCTTACCTACAAATGGTCTAGTGACAGTGAGACGTAGTGTCATACTAGCTGTGCTAGAATAACTTCCAGAGGAGTAGTGAGGCTTCATTTTGTTTGCTCTTTTTATAAACATAATATGGAAGCCTCTCACTTCAATGTTTGAAAAACTAAAAGTAGATTCCTCCCGTATAGCCGCACACTACCGTTTTCTTTGTCCTTCAGTACTGTTTGTAGTCGTAGTTGATCTGCCTGTTTTGGCGATTTTAACACCTTTTGTATCCTAATGTTGACACCAAATGCTGTTTTGAGGGATATATTCAAGTATTAGATTGCCCCATAAGTCTTTTCATTTTTGAGTTTTCGGTGTAATAATTCATACACTTCTTGTTCTAAATAGACATTAGGAAACCATTCGATAGAGCAAAGCAAGCTCTATAAGACGGCGCTTACGCTTTTGCACCTGCTTCAATCCATCTCAGGTTTGAAACCAGAATCTAAAGAGTTTTGGATGCTCAAAATTGAAAATTTCTTGTATCTTCATTCAAAAAAGTCCTACAGATCTCTCACTTGCTCACATATATACACTCCATATCAAACATTCATACGTGCTATTGCCGTATTTTTTATTAGCAAAATTTCCATGTTTTCACCAAAGTGATGCTGTGCTGTTTTTGCACTAACAGTTGTATACTACGAGCCCTTAGAAGTACAACCGCAAATTTTTAGCTCTCTATAAGCTGTAGTTCCCGAGAAATATCAAATTTAGCTTCCCTCATTTGATATTTTTCGTGCTTAACTCACCATTTCTCGGAAACTAAAGCTTATAGAGGGCTAAAAATCTACGGTTGCCTTTCTAAGGGCTTGTAGTATACATGTGCAGCACACACCACTTTGGTAAGAACATGGAAATTTTCGGTTTCTTGATTTCTAGCTAATAAAAAAAACGGCAATAGCACATATGAATGTTTGATATGGAGCGTATATGCGTGAGCAAGTGAGAGATCTGTAGGACTTTTTTGAACGAAGATATTAAAATTTTCAATTTTTTGGGCATCCAAAACTCTTTAGGTTTGGTTTCAAACTTGAGGTGGATTGAAGCTGGTGCAAAAACGTAAAAGCCATCTTACAGAGCTTGCTTTGCTCTATCGAATGGTATCCTGATGCCTTATCGGAACAAGAAGTGTATGAAGTATTACAGCGAAAACTCAAAAATGAAAAGACCTATGGGACAAACTAATACTTATTGGTTGGACGGAGGAAGCAGACAAGAAGTATTTTTTGCTGAAATCTGTCAAAAGTATCTCGAATATCAAAGTCAGTGTTTTGCAATTTGATTTTGCTACAGGTTTGTTCGCCTTATCAAATTCTGCAGAATAATAAGTTAATATTATAAGCCCAAAGTACTAGATTGACGTACGAAAAACAGTGAGCTACAACATTACAAGATCCTATTGCCTGCGATCTCTCCTCATCCATTTGAGGATGCACAAAGAAGGATGTAATCTTCCCGAGAAACGTGGGATGGCATTCAAAGTCGAACCTACGAGCGGCCCTTAACTTACAGCAGAAAGGCTAGTGAGTAAAAACTGGAGAGTTTTATAGGCTTCAAACGCAAGTATCTCAGCAAATTTTTTAGTTATGTATTATAGAATTCTCGACCTCTCAGACGACGTGCTCTCAGAAAATCTCACCTGGAGAAGCAAATATAGAACAAGTCATGTGGTACAAGTGATTTGCTAACAAATGATAGGGAGAATGTTACACAAGACTTTAGCCAAACAGTGCATTATCACTAATGCAAGGTTTCGAGAGATCAATTTTTGTGTTGTAGTATAAAAGCGCAAAGGTCGACATGTGTTAGGTTGATATTTCGCCAGTACGAGATAGTCACATTAATTAAAACGTAATATTGAACAGAATCATTCAAGACTTCCAAAGAAATCAATTCCAAAACGTTGTACAAGATTTTTTTGCGAGAAATTTAAGAAAATGTGACCCACATGCCAAAGCTTGGATTCGTGAAAGTTCCTACTTTTGGAATTCACTACAGGGTTCATTACGCGCCGAATCTAGCCTGTGCACCGCAAACGATGCATTTTTCACCTAGTCAGTGATGAAAAAGTTACTGAGAGGAGTTGATCACTTTTTACTTCACATAACTCTTATGATGTTTTGTACTTCGTCCTATATCTTTTTTGTAACTAAAAATAAATCTTTTGGACTCTGCCTGGCCCTCCGTACAATCTCACTTTCCGACCTGAATTACGCCACCCCTGTTCTGCTCGGATAGCATTTCGCGGTGACTTTTCAGCAGTCGAACGAATTTACCTGTCATTATGTTTTCTTTAATAAGTGTTTCTGTTTGGACACTGACAAGTGTTATATGGCATGTGGCGTAAACGGATATAGGTTCTGTATTACAAATTCGTTCCATAAAAGTGATGTAATATACAACAATTTTACTAGTGAATCAACATATCCAGTCAATCATTTGGTTAGCTCAGCAAAAATCGAAGTAAGCACTATGCAAGTGCTCCATTTCTTCTGAATTCGGAGTAAATTCCTTCGGACTCTAAAGTAGCGGTTTCTTGTTGGACGGGTTTCATGTCGTCTCTGACTTCTGAATCTTCTTTTCTCATCACATATGAGTTAGGTGGACGTATGAAACCTTCTGCGTTTCCAAGCAACCAAAAAGTCTCCATCACACCTTTCCCCTAAAATGGCCTCTATTGATTTATTGATTGAAAAAGCAATGAATTCTTTTCCTCACCTTGATTATCACTTCTCCTCTTGATTCTGTCATGAATCCTCCCACAATTTGCAATAGCTGGTTTGCGTCCGCAGACAGATGTATCATTCCAGCTTCAAAAAATAAAATGTAACACGAGAGGAAGCAATTGGGCTCTGAACAAACGTTTGCCGTTGCTTTCCATCCTGCTAGCTGTGTTGACAGTATCACCAAATAAGCAGTATCTTGGCATTGTTAAGCCGACTACACCAGCCACAACGGAACCTGTAATTTTTAGAATGTATGAGAAGCAAAATTCAACAAAAGTCAAACAAGCCGTTCAATTCAATGTGCTTTTGAATTACTTTGATATTATACAACCAACCTGTATGAGCTCCAATCCTCAAATTGATTCTCTCTTGCGGTAGATGCGGAATTTTGAAATTGGTAAGACTTTTCATAAATGCAAGGGACATGCTGCATATTTCCTTGACATGCTCCTGACCATTTCTGTGAGGTAAACCGCTCACACATAGGTAACCATCGCCGATTGTTTCCACCTGTAAAATCCTGATTAGATAACATCCAAGAAGTATCTTATTATTGTGATTTCTTCATCTAATATCAATGAATGAATATACAATTAGCTAACGAAGTTAGATTGTAGTATCTCTGTACTGCAACCCTTGTCTTTTATGGCGATAATTTCAATAATGAAAGGAGAAGCGGTTTCTGATAACCAAGCGAGTTCAAGCAACTTCAACGTAAACTAAAGACACGTTTAGCAGCAGCTGTTCACCCTTTTAGAAAGCCTCTTTGTCGAGCTGTCTGATAAAAATAGATGAGGATGCACTAAGTTGGTCAGAAAGCCTTCACAAAATAGTTTTGAAAATCTTGGGAATTTTCGTGAAACGTTTTCACTATTATATACTTTTATAAGCAAACTACTTCAATACTTGTGGTTTACCAAGGTGATACAGATTATCTTCGTAAACTAATTTTTCCGAGCTACCGCCGCGTCCCCGTTTTTGGTAATGTCAAGCTATGAAATCCCTGAAAAGTTAGGAAGCATCCCAACCTACATAGAGACAGTAGATAGGTAAGAATGTTTTTTATGCTAGATGGAAAGAGAGGTCATAAAACTTTTCACAAATCCAGATCAGAATCTGCAAAAATTGACTCATTTACAGTTTGGATCCGCATATGCCTACAGTAGTTTTTCCATAAGATGCTTTTAAAAAGCGTATGTTTTCCTCCCTATAATTTAGCACGTTATGCAACCAGAAAGAAGCTGAAAAAGATTACAAATGTTCGCGATCGTTCAGTTCTTAAGAGTAACTAGGACCACAAAAACTAGAAAATTATCCAACCGACAACCATTCCATGCCGTGAAATTAACGTTGTAGAAAGACTTGCGTATGAGAGTTACATGGTCAGTTTTGGATACTTCAGCAATGTCCTCATTGGTAATAATACCTTGTAAACATCGTGAGCATCAATGATCCCATCGAAGACAGTATACAGGTCGTTCAGTAGGTTTACTACCTAAATAGGTTAAATAACAAATTACAATGTAGATATAATTTGCGCCATATCCACAAAGTAACAACAATCAAAGTCGTCATTGAGGATTGCGCATTAATTACTATGGATCAGAGAATTATTTTTTCGCAAAGCTGTAAGTCGAACCTGTAATGGAGAGCATCTGCTGGCAATTTTTGTGAAGGAAACCACATCCGAGAAGAAAACAGTAACTGTGTCAAATGTTTCCGGTTCAACAGACTGCCCTAACTTCAGCTTATCAGCGACTTGCCTAGAGCAAAAGAGTTCTCAATTGAAGTCAGCAACTGTTTCGATACGCATACTTTGGGAGCATCCTATAGAGCAAAATGTCACTTTTCTTCTTTTCTTCTGACAGTTCTTTGGTCCTGTCCTCGACCTCCGCTTCAAGATTTGAAGCATATGTTTCCAGCATATTGAAGACGTGATCCATGAGGTTGTCGCTTCTGGAACAGTAATTTATACTCAGGTAGTAGAGATTGAAAATATGGATCTTTGCTTTAGGATAATGTTTGAAATGTAAAAAAAAATTATTGATGTAAGCTTAGAGGATTTGCGAATTCCGAAATTGCTGGCAATTCTATAATTTTGAACACTATTGTTCTTCCAGTTTGAAGCATGAATTCTACCTGTGCTGGTTCATACTCTTCAGATGTGATCTAACCATGTCTATCGAAGGCCTTTCTGAAGGCCGCTCTGTCCAACAGTCGCGAATTAGGTGAAGCTAAATGACTACTTACAAGTAAAACAACAAAGCTTGAGAAGTTAAAGGTAATATCCATAGGTGTGCACTCAATTTTCCTTACTCACACGCCGTAATTTATGATAAATGTAGAGGTTTGATATTTATTATGAAAAGCCCCACACCACATCAAGTTCCGAACTAAACTCACCAGTGCCGGATTGATCTCAGCTTCAGAGTCCACTATCAAGTGCGGACGTGCAGGCATATGTCCTCCTTTCTTGACCATGTAAATAATTTCTAGGAAAAAAAAGAACTGGGTTTTGATTTATAGTGTGCTGGAATTGTTCTTTGAAGTCTTGTAATAATTTCCATGTTCCGTTTTCTTTGAAGCTGAGCTTTGCTATAATATTCAACTCTTTTGTGCCGTACAAGTTTGTTATTGTGGTAAATTTATTCGTATGGCCTAACGTTTCGACGCTTTTGTCCTCAGAGGTCTGAAAACGATTCAAGGCATCATCCGTAATACCAGACCACCAGATTTTTGCAGTATATGCCACTGTGTGAGTTGTAGATAGTAGATAGCGACTTGATGCGCATTCTACTGTATCACTCATTTGTCCGTCATCTTTTGTCACATCCAGACGTGCGGACATTTCAAATAGCGGTAGTACAACGGTGATTATATCTGTCTTGAATTTTTGCGACACGAAGTTTGGATGACGTCAATATTGGCTAAGCCAAGAAAGATATATGGTGGTCTGGTATTACGGATGATGAGTTGAGTCGTTTTCAGGCCTCTGGGGACGACGAAAGCATCAAAACTTTAGGCCAGTACGAATAACTCTGCCACCATGACACACCTGTACGGCACAATAGAATTGAAGATTCTCCTATGAAGTATAATATTTCTCCAAAATACAGCACGATGTGTAATTTTTGTTGTGATGAAAAATGTTGTATTCTTAAAGGCAGTGTCCGGGCAAAAAGTTGATTTTGAGATTCTGTGCTTATCCGGCCCTATTGGCTATGCTGAATCCGAATATCCACACTAGAAAGCGCGAAAATGGCAAAATAGGGCTTTAACACAGGAGGGAACTCAGCAGGTGGGCGGGGTCCTCCCCACTGTGAAATCACGCTCCCTACTTCCGAATCGATCTTCTTGGTTCCTATTTCAAGTCAAACGTTCGTACTTGGCCGGTGGAGATGTCAGGGCGGCTAGCGAAATAGAAGAAATCGCTCCAAAAGCTTGGAGCGTGCATTCACAGGAAGACCCCTCCCACCTCCTGTTTTCCCTCCGGCATTAGAGCCCTTTTTCGCCGTTTTTGCGATCTCCAATGTGCAATTTCGGATTCAGCGTAGCGAATAGGCTCTGGTAAGCGCAAAATCCCAAAAGCGACTTTTTGCCCGGACACTGCCTTTAACACGTTTCGGACCGCGGAATCGCGCGCTGCGAAAAAGAGTGTACTTTCGGCTGTTAGCCAGCAAAGGAACCTTATTTTGCCGACTGTAGACTACATCTGTAATCAGCATGCCAGATTAGCTCCATATCCAAAGTTCTGGGTGAATTCGAAGTGTTTGTGGTCGGTCGAGAGGGACTCTTGTGCTTTTTTGAAAGATGAGAGCAAGAACTCAGTTTCAAATAGTATGTAAAAGTATCTATGTTGTACAATGTACTCGTCACTATTGAAACTACGGTTTATCTCTTTGAAATCGGAGCAAAGAAAAGTTGCGACGTCGCACGCGTCGTTCGCGTTGCCGCACTTCGTTGCAACTGTTGTTCGATTTTTCCTCATATCTCGTAAACAAATATCGGCGGCTCAGCTCTACAGTGTCATTTAAAAAGTAAGAGCTTGGACCTTTGACTCAATAACTTCGGATTTAAAGAAAACCTCCTGCAAACGTCAGAAAGAACCTTTAAAGCAGCGTGCTGCACCATGTGCAGCACCGGTCCGAAACGTGTTAAGACGCTTGGTTTGACGTTTGTAGGTTTTAGCAAAAGGAGGTTATGCTCGTGGGTCCAGTTTCATAGGCGACAATGCTCTGATGCTTTATATCCGAGTCGTTGACTTCTGTCAAATAGCGTATTGAAATTGCAAACCAATAGATCCAATCACTGCGGCTTTAAACCACCAAAAATCTAAATCAAAACGTACCTTCTGCGTCCTCCTTTCTGTTATTCAAGTCCCACGGCGTTGTTCGTGTTACAAGCTGAGCACATATAATAGCAAAGCTAAAACGATGCTACTATAAAGAACAAGGTGTTGCAAAATTTATTGTAGATGAGGCAAGGCGCGCTTTGAAAGTTGCCCCTCCCCCCTCATTCATTGAATGTTCCTGCGTTAATTCAGGCAAGTTTCAAAATCACTTTATTTCCTTCCTCAAGAAACTTTGATCAGTTAGTACCGCACTTACCTATAGACATCACTTTCTTGCGTAACTTCTGATTCAGATCTCCGCAGCAGCTCAGGCGCAGTCCAGAGCAGATCTGAATTCTGTATTGCAGAGCTTTTATCAGGCACGATTTTTAGCGACCTTTAGCACTCCTTTTATCGAGGACCCTTATAGTAGCAAGACCGTAATTCGATATCTTCACTTGCCAGCGATCATCTACCAGACAACATAATGAAGTTAGAAATCCGTGGCAGTGGAGAAAGGATCTGTGTATGAAGGAGAGCCCCTGAAGTATGTCATGAAAGGTTCATGTCTAATACGCAGTTAGCAACTACTCACATTTGCTATATCCTTCAACAGTGAAAATATGAAGAAACTATCCATCGTCAGCGACCCCTTCACGATGACGTCATTTAGGCTTCCACGTGAACAGAATTTCCAGATTGACAATAACTGAGGACCATCCAAACACAGGCCAATAAAGCGGTTGAGATTGTCATGTTCCAGTTCACGCAACTGCAACAAAGTGACTGTCATGCTATGAGACATCACATACGATCCATCTTTGTTTCTTGAATAGGAAAAGTAACTTTGGGACAAGGTGTGAGTTCGAATTTTACTGATCAAGTGATATGCTGGCTGAGCTTCACTCTAGAAGAAGAAATTAGACCCGTGATAAACAAACCTTTCTCAGTACTGGGTAATCTTCTGGCTCCACTCTTGACTTTGTTTCGTGTTTCATAGCCGCTACTTGTTCTTTCTGAAAACAAAAATGTCTACGTTGCGTAAGAAGCGCAAGTTGGTGTACTCCACCATTCCGTCTCCAATAATTTTAGAATTTCGGATTTCACGATACTGTGCGTGAGAGGAGTGACTATGCTAACTGCACTGCCTGTTTGATTCCGTGATATCATCATCTGTGATTAATGTGTATCGGTAGAAGACTAAAGCCTCAGATTTCTAAGATGGAAAGGAGAGCTATTTGAGCTGTTCCTTCGCGACTAATGTACCCATCAGTTACCGTAATGCCATCATTTAGTGCTACGGTAAGATCTATATGTACGCATACCGTATCCCAAGGGCATTATTACAAATAAGAGATTTGACATGGATAACATGACATGATGAATGAATCCTTTACGCAATGTTCTGAATCAAACGTAAGAATTGAAATCTTTAAGGATTGGTACGCTATAACGTTCATGGTATTTATTAATCAAGCATGAATACAGTGACAGTGCTGGAAACATGATAGTGCAGAATGCAGTTTTTGACGATTTACACCTGTTCTTGAGCACCATCTTTTTTCCCCCCAAAAGAAAAATCTAGAACCATCCAAGTGGAGGTTGCCTCTTCGATAGATACAGCTTTTCGTGAATCTCAGTCATTTTGAGTGGAACGGCGTTAGTCTCCAAAGAGTCCATCCTTAAAATGGTTACTCAAAAAACGCGCGAATTACTGTAGCGAGTCAATGTCGCTTCAGCGGTACAGAAGTCACGGTAGTACGGTTTGTGTAGTGTCAGAAACTCTATAAACTTCCTATCTTCCGAGCTACCCATCTGATAATTCTCAAAAAGCTAATCAAATTATGAAAGAGGCGCCTTAGCATTCGTTCACACTCATACAAACTTCTCCATTACCTGGTGATAGTAGAAAGTAAAGTTCCGCGTTTCCGCTCTACTCTCGAATGTCACTCTCGTTGATGTTGTACTTGGCCCACTTTGCAGGGAGCGATGGCTTGCTTCACCTTTCTTAAAAAGATTTACATTTATAGGAAGGTTCGAAAAAGTTTTCGCGATACCTTCTTGGTAGCGCTTTCAAGGGAGCTAAACGGTATTTGCCACATTTTATTTAGACGTTCGATCTCGCTCTTTTTTGCTCTGAAGTTGTGGTGAGCAGATTGCAAAGCAACATCCGGATCTATTGAGTGAACTCACCGAATTGAGTAATATATCCCGGCGATAGCACCAATTATTGCGCACAGCACAATGACACCAGCAATGATTATCCACAATAGATATTCACTAACAAAATTTACGGGACACTGAAAAAATTGAATATTTTCGCATTTTCTTAACGTCAGTGAGAATCTCCAGGATTTTTAAAATGGAATCAATGACCTTCTTTGCTAGCAAGGACAGTACCTGATTTCCACTAAACCCACAAATGGGAACTGCTAGCGGTCGTTTTCCTCCCCATGCCCACCAGATGTCAGCCTCATTTGTATACTGGCGCTCGTAATTCTGCAAGGGAAGGATGTATCAAATTGTATATCAGCTTGCACCAAAAATTTGTAAAATTGTTGCAGAAGTGTTCATAAACTAGTGCAATTTGCTTGTTCTTTCAGACTTACCGAATGAATTTTTGAGTGATGTGATCTAGGTATTCCTCTAGCAGCTTGTTCGCCTTGATTGTCATTAGAAAACGATTACCTGCGCTCTTTAAAAGCACCATCTGGGCGCCTAATATACTTGCTCAGATCTCGCTTCGAAGGGTCAAACCCCAAAAGAGAAAATTGCTGCAAAATTTACTCGCCGAGTTATTCGCTAGCATACGTAGGTGGTCTGAAGTTGGAGCCTAAAATTGGGCCCTAAGTAGCTAAAAATGTCGAAAACTTAGTATGATGAGAAACCGATTTTCAAAATACCATTTTCTCTGAAGCTTATACTCATCACCTTTAGACCACCCACATTGATGGCTAGAACGGACAGCGGCCGTTAACCTCTACAGCGTTTTTCTCGTTTCGGAATCCAGATTTTGCGTAAAAACTAGGGCAATTACCTAGTTATGGGCCCGCTATTAAGCATTCAAATTTTCCCAACATACTAGGGTGAACAATGCCTTCAAAATTCTCCATCATTCAGTCTCTTTACAAACAACTTACAAACCTTCATATTTTAATGGATCGACCCAATAGTAAGGGTATATGTTGCAAATCGAGCAATTCGTTCAAGATCCAAAATTGGCCCAGCAATGTGGATCAAGGCAAAATATGCTACCGCCGCAATGTAGCGAGTGATTTGTACGCAATTTTGCATATCTTGTGTCTAATTTACTCAATTCATAGGCATCAAAGCTGCGCCGCTGCAGCAGACAACTTGTGCACTCTCGGCGTCGTAACTCCTTGTGGGAGCTTCTCTTTCCACAAAATCTCATTCAGCTTACTCCAAGAGTTTCATCCACCAAGATTGTTGCGTACAGCGCTTCTTCTGCATTCTTATCTAAGCCATCAAAGTAGATGACTGGTTTACGGGAGCCGTTCACTCCCATTATAACATCTCCGGAAATTCCTGAATAATTACTCTGATTTTGTCAGATTCGAAAAGCTTTTTGTGGTGTTGATCTACCTTCAAATTGCATCCCGATATGTCCCATAATTTGATCTCCATCACGAACTGATGTCAGTGGGTTAGCCATCAACGTAGCGTTCAACGCTCGAGCATATACGTACATCGCGTCGTGAAGTTGACCAGCGTAAGCACCGGCCTAGAATATGGGAGCTGGTATTGAAGATTTCATGAAAACCATAACTTGCCTTTGAAAATTGTTTGCCCTTGCAATCTTCAATGCAATTAAATGGTGATTCCTTCATGCGGGCGATGACGAGCTCGCTAAAGATCTCGTAGTCCTCAGTTTCTTCTCCCGCGCCCATGTGCTGCAAATATTGCTGAGTCAGTGCTGGTTAGGAAATAGGTAAGCTATTTTGCTCTATGAAATAATTATTATTATAAATGCCTCACATCCGAGATACTCAACGTCATCTGGAACGCTTCTTTAGCTTCTTGATCACGACCATCCTTCAACTGGGCGACGTCTTCCCACACCGAAACCGTCGTCCCATCTCTCATTTGCACAGCTGAAATTCAGCTCTGACTAGAACCATGCAAAGAAAAAACGTTTGTGAAACTGACAATATCCTTTTGAATTTGTGTCGGTGAAGATGTACACATATTCCGCATTCAAGTAACCTCCATCCTTTGCCGCCAAGATGAATTGTCTCTTGTTACCGTTTCCCTCTGGTAGGCAAACGGAGATGACTAAATTATTTCATGAAAGTTTCGTTGTTTTTCTATTAGAATTTTCATTCCCGCGATGTTGTTTAGGGTACTGATATTGCTTGCACATACACAAAAAATGTGAGAGTTGAAAATATTGGCTGACGAAAAGAATTGTACCGTAACAACCTTTTCTGTGTAAGGGCACACCCCTTACCAGTGGCGGTCCCAGGATTTCGGACCGAGGAGGGGGGGGGGGGGGGTGCGACAAAGATTTTTTCTGAGTGAAGGTGCTTGGCGCTAGCCACGCACTCCGAAAAGATTTTTGGGATCCCGGAAAAAGAATTTTTTCACACGGCTTTTGATTTTAAAAAATTTCAAAAGTTATTTTGATTATATACAAGTATAAACAAGTCACTTGAACTTTTTATAACACTTATAAGGTAACTTTCAAAAATTTCGCGACCAATTCTCTGGTGCCCCCCCCCCCCCTCGGACAGCCACGGGAGGCGTGCAAGTGGTACCCGGACGGTCGACTGCGGCCGCAGCCAGCCGCCGGAGCTGCTGACAGGGCCACTGCAGATGGTACAGTAACTACGCTCGTCATCTAAACTCTTGCCGAGAGGTTTCCTCTCACTTCGTCGAGCTGAGGTGCGATATCAGTTTCGGGGATAGTATGATATCCTCGATATCTTTATCATTTTGACCAGCAAAAAATTCTTATTTTCTCGAACCATGCAATCGAATACAAAACTATACCGGAAAGTTTCCAAAAAATTACAAACACTCATAGATTAAACAGGCAATTGAATTCACTTTTCCATGGGTACTCCAGAATCTGGAAATCTTTTGAATTCTGAAATGTTCATGGAAACGTGAGTTTGACTGAATCCTTTTTTTGCAACGGGTTCCGTGTTCAAAATGTTTCTCTCTTATTATTTTCTTTTTTCAAAAAATCTGGAGGATGAATTTTCCAAGTAAGTGAGCCTGAGGCTCTGTTGGCAGCTATATAGAATAGTAGAACACTTTGACTTTTTAGTGATGTACGGTGTTTCTTTTTATATCAGCATATGTGGCTTTTCACCTTTTATCACTGATCAACCACTAGCTTATTTAGCTCGCTTAACATCGCTAGATAATGAAATCAAGTTTTAATAGACTGATTTTACGGTTATAACCGTAACATATTGCTGTAAATGTCTTCGTCCGTTATTCGACACTAAAAGCCAAAATGGATTTTCAGAAACTAAAGTTCCTGAATTTTTCAGCTTCTAGTGATTTGGTCAAACTGATTTGATTTTATGACCAATTTCCTTTAGAAAAAAAACCTTTTCTGTATAACTTTATTGATTTGCATGGTTCTCAAGTTATGAATTTTTTGCTGTTTTAAAATGATGTAGAAATATCATGCTATCCCTGAGGCTGATATGGCACCTCAGCGCAAGAGGTGCGAGGATACCTCTCCGCAAGAGTTTTAGATGACGAGCGTGGTTACTGTACCATTTGCAGCGGCTTTGTAGACTGCAGATATGGAATGTAGGACTGTCAGTGTTTCAGATCGTGTCAGAACAGTTTCGAAAAAAAAGTATACACTTCGTGGCTTATTGAGCTAGGTAGTTCCCGTTAAAACGTAGATATTTGATACAATGCGCTCGTGTTGTGTTACAGTGCTATTGCAAAAGTTCCCAACAACAAACATAATTGCTCTATATTGATCTTTTGCTTGATATTGACCTAGCCTAAATGGCTGATTTTTATTGATCGACGGCTGGAAAAAAGTAATTGCCTACTTCTGGCGCGAGCACTGACATTCTTCAATGTTCTCTGAATAGCCGCTTCTGTCACACCTGGTATCTCTGCTGTCATGGTAATTTCCATATCGTCAGTCTTTGAAATGGCATTCTGAAGTATAACATTGGTTATTATTTCAAAATAGTCGTGGTGATTTTGAAGCTTCACCTGTATGTCTGTTTTCATAATGTCGCATTTTTGGCGATCTCCGTCTAGCGAATAAATAAATGCGAATTCGTTCCATTCAAAAGACTGCAGCACTGTACTAAGGGCAATTCCAACACTGCAAGCATAAAGTTTGTTGCTGTAGGAAAATACTGCGCTACGAATTTTAGAGTCAAGTGATAATTGAAAGTAATGTACTCTACACATTTTATCAGCTGCGAATTTGGTCACATCCATAACCAAATTAGTATCAAACATAGTGATGCCCAGATTATGTGCCAAGCTCTATAAGAGTTTCAAAACGTCAAGATAACTATAGATTGTGTTGCTACATGCTTCTCATCTATGATGTGTAAATCTTATTTTATCTCTAGCGTAGCGCTGCTTGCTGAACATCATGGATGCGAGATAAACATAAGGAATAAATACCATATTTATTATAACTATCATAGTTAAAACTGATCTTTGGATCCGTACTTTCAGTTCTGCAAATTTTTCTGTGCAATAACAGTAGCAGTATCTTACATCCTTGGCAGAGAACACTTTGAAAACTTCCAGAGCAGTTGACCAGTTGCAACTTATTCATAATTTGTGCTGCTCCCTTACGATTTCCATAATCATCGAGACCACATCAGTTTAGTGTATTCCGCTGTGTCAAAATAATTTTGCATTTTTTGACGGATGTGCAGGAGGTCAATTCAACCTTTTTCAAAGTATTGTAAGTACCTCGATGGTAAAGTGTGTTACGTTCATCTAAAAAAAATTTGCAGAAAAATGGCGGAAGGTTCTTCTCATTCTATGGAGGTAACTATCTCAATGAGGAGTTTGCCGCTTACGGTTGTATGTTATTCATGGAGCAATGAAGCAAGAGATTGTCGGATTATGTATTGCAAATTAATTAGCACCTCTATGATCAGTTCCTCTGTGCTATTTCCAAGTCTCGTAAGAGGGAAATAAGCTGGTTACCTGAAGGAATTCACAGAGATTATTCCACCAGTGGGGAAGCGCTCCACGTCGTTGAGCTGAGATGAAGTGCTCAATCCCCAGACGAGTATCGGGATGTTGTAGTAGGCGGCATTGATGGCTGCTGCGATGGCAGCTGAAAGAGTGTGATGGTAAATTTCACTCCGGACTGAGTAAGAGGAGAAAGAATTTATCGCTTAAACCAAGAATTTATCGAACCAATGTGCAGTATAGTTGATACCGGAAGAGGAAACAGTACGGTCGAGTATATACGGTTACTTACTAAAGTCAACAGATCAGCGTTTTATGGTTGACGAGCGAAAAAACAGCACTCCTTCATGGTTAGAGCTTAGGACTGTACACATTCAATATGTGCATTCGCACACATGCACGATATTCGACGGCTTATGTGCTCACAAGTGAATTTTCGATGACTTTTTTCTCCTGAATTTGAATAAGTGCACGTTTGATTATCATATTAGTATTTATAATTAGATTGACATGGTTCCAATCGTAAATATGTGAGCGTTCATTCTTAAACAGTCGATAGAACTTCACGGGCTTCATAAAGATCAAATCAGCGTAGTGCAAAAATTTTGGAGAATTTGCTCCTTTTCTACAGTTTTGAAATTATGGTGCATACGGGCAAAATTTTCGGAAGAAGACTTCACGCTTTTGATTCAGAAAAAAAATTCTTCTTCGCGAAAGAAACTCTGCGTCTGTCATTACTATACTTACGGTAGCTGCACGTCGGTCCTAAGATAGCATCTATTTTATAATCACGAATGAGAGTGACTGCGAGTCCCGCTCCAGTCTTCTCATCACATTGATCAAACAGCACCGTGAAACTGAAAGAACAATGAATTGACCTAACAAGTTTGCTGTATTCTCCTTCATTACTTGAAATCATATCCTGGCAGTAGTTGTTCCTGAACAATGCGGTCGCGTGCAATCAAAACAGCAGACGCAGTCGTTCTGAGAGAAAAATATGGAATAATAAAATTGCTTTTTGGGAAAAAACTTGATTCTTCGTATTTTTCCATCATGCTTGCCACTAGTACGAAGGGGTTGGAAATTACAACAGCTGAGCAGTTTTCTTTTTTGGTTAGAACTATGCATTGGCTTAACCAAGGTTTTGTGGAACGCCTACGGTCTCAGATTCGAATTGTTGGCACGTAGTTTTTAGTTAAGCCTTTTAGATTTGTACTAAAAACTTGTGTTATAGTTTACTCAAGTGTTACAGCTTGAGAATGTTGAAGAAGATAGAATTTTCTTGATAACGTGTGTTCAGTGATTAGTTATGTGCCACCCATTTCGTGAATTCATTGCAATCTCGAATTACTGTTCGACATCGACGGAAGGCTTAACTAATCGGGTTCACCATACTAAATCTCCACATTATTGTCGCGCAAATCTTTGAGAAGAGGAGCATAAAAACGATAACGTCTAGCTGCAAGCACAGTGAACTGATTTTGATGTATAAAAACTGGTCAGAAAAGAACAAGTGGTTGTGCTGTCAGACAACTCCTTTCAAATTCTTCATTCTTGCTCTAGAAAGCTTTGAGAAGCTAACGGTTAAACAGCAGTTTGGAGAGATTAAGAGAATAGGTGTACCACAGTGCAAGCCAGTGAGTATATCGAATTCTGGAAAAAAAGCCGGCTATACATTACGCGATTTTTATCGCCCGCGATTTTCCAAGACAACTGTTACATTTGGGCCGATCATCTTGCATTTCGTTTGCGATAATTAGTTTCGATTAGTTTGCTAAAAAGCGGCATGCAATGAAGTGGTAACAGTCGTCATGTTAAGAGAATCGCAAGGCGATGAAGTTGCGTAATGTATGTCCGACTCTAGAGATGTTTTTTAGAGAATCATATTGAAGGAGAAAATAATAGAATGCAGCGGATGTCTAGTTAGTGTAGGTGGACTTTTCAATTTGAGATTTAATGCTGCTAACAATAGTTCATTCCTTGGAATTGAGCAAAAGTAAGCAACAGAAACTTGGTTAGAGCGCAAAAAGTGTACACTTGCGATATTGAGATGCAAATAATCAGAGGAAAATCGAAGCAGGAGTTTGTAAAAATGGTACGGAGCAATCACCTTCAAATGACTGGAAATTCACAAAAGATAAGGCATCGATATCTGGTTACTACGTAACTTCATATCCGATGCTTGCATAGCAAATCAAATGCTTGCAATAGGTGTAAGACAGAAAACACTATGAAGCTTACCTATAGCCAATATCAACGGCTATTCCCAGTGGGTCATCTATCATTAACATTCCGATATTCAATGTCCGGGCTGTAGATGGGGGTAGAAGCAGAGCCTGAGCAAAGGCAAACAATTCCAATAGGAATTTGATGTTTTTTCGTTGCAAAAAATGCTATTTTTAGTTTATCGTTGATGCGAATGTAATTCACAACTGTGGTTTTTTATTTTCTAAATGTAACGACAACTGTTTGAGAAAACAAAAGAATGTCATTTACATTTTTGGAGGCTATAACGCCCAAATTATTTGCTATTAGGTTGTCCCTTTCAAGTCTTTTCATATTTGTACCTTCAAATTAATATTTCTCAAAAACCAAGGCATCTACAAGATTTCAATATTGTATGAGTATTCCTGAGTGAATAAGCTATATAATCACATATTTGCGAGGAGCATAGCTTGTTACAGGCAAAGTTTGAAAATTGAGCGCCTTATTTTTTCTCTATTTCTAGCCATCAAAAAATCGCAGCAGGTGTACATATGAATATTTGATGCGGAGATTATATGCGTAAGCCAAAGGGAACTTTGCAGAATGTTTTTGAAATGAGATACGATTCGTTTTTTTGGAAACCAAGCCTGGTACAAATTTTTGAAGGCCATGTTATAGAGCGCTTCATTCTTTTTAGAAGTCTAAGAAAAGCAGAATTATACTGGTGCACATATGAAAAGACTTATGGGACGACCTAATAGGCGTCAATTCAGATTTTGATGAATCTATAAGTTTGCTAGAGAGTTCCTTAGATTCTTAGGCACTGCGAAAATTCTCTGCTTAGGTATTACCTCACTGTAGGACATCTCCTGACTATTAGTCATTCTTTTTTTATCAAACTGACAATGAGTAAAGAAGGTTATCAAATTGAACGTACTTTCAAGATCCAGTGCAACAGACGCATCAGGAACATTAGCAGACCTAAGTTGTTGATGAATCGGTTCACCTTTGTGCTGTTGAGGAAGCCTATCTCCACTCTACCCACACATTATTGCCCGCGAAAGGTTTCAGCAGGGCAAATGCAGTGCTTTTCAGTAGCTTTGCTCTGTGATGTCCTCAAACTTCACAGTGGCATTGGGGACTACATGAGGAGGGAATATTAAAATCTTAAAAGCAATCTAACTGAGTGACAAATTGCGCGCTTATTTGATTCACTTAAGTTCAAATAAAATGGGAAAGTTTAAGCTGCATTATTGATAAAAAAAATTAAGCCTGTATGCTTTGGCTTTCTTAGAGCTCTTGCGTTAGCCCATTACGTTACGTTTTCCCGAGATACACTGCTTTTGACCTCTGCTGCTTTTCTACAAAGTAAACATAAGTGTCTCTGCGGTACGGTTTTTTGAAGAAACTTATAAACGCCTGGAAATTCCAATTTTGTTGAGCACTTAATGACATATGTTTGATGAAATGCGTCTCATTAACAGTCATTTGGCATTCTGGTGGGTACATATTCCTTCGTGGGAGTTTGTAAGGCAGTGTACTTATTATTATCTTGATTGCTCTCAGGGTAATTTTTGGTCTACAGCTGGAACCTCAGACCTATTTCCACAATTTAGTTCCGATCGAAGGCGCTTCAGGAAACTTGCATCACTCCAAAATTTGTCAGTGTGGCTTGGTATTTTCCTCGTTAGCTATACTTCATGCTGATTCTAGAGCTTCTTTAATTGGCGTGGTTCGTCAAACGGAGTGTCGTCCAAAATGCATAATGTAGTCTACAAGCAGATTTAATTGAAGGCACTTTGTTTTGGTCATCTAATATTGACTCCATCGTTGAAGGAGGGAGTTCTACAAATTCAGTGATTTATGGATTATTCGCCAAATAGACGAATGTCAAATAAGTCAGATTGCGATTTACAAACAAAAAATTAGAACAATATTCGTTTGAAAACCTTTTTTTTTCGACAAGTTTTCGTATGTTATTGAAATCCCGATTTTCTTCGATTCGAAACTCATTTCTACTCAAGAAAAGATATTTGAATTTCACTAACTATGAGATGTTACAATGTTAAAAAAAAACCTTTTTGGTAAAAATTATTCTGTCAGAGAAATAGCGAGTCGGTGTCCAGGGCTTCATTTGATTGATGGAACTGTGTTTGATACGATTTAAAGCAAAGTATGCAACCCACGTCCCAGAAAATGCTACAATAAAATAGAATTTGAATAGTTGCTCTAAAAATTGCTAGGTGTTAGATAAGTGTGCTCTCTTTATCAAGAGTTGGCTCTTGATTTTATCTGAGAACCTCGAAATACGATCTGTTGGTCCCTCAATACTGCTAATTATGGATCAGAATTTGAAGACTGTGGGTGATATAGAGTGTAAATCCTGTAATGCAGTTTTGTGCGATCCTATCACATGAGAGAAAACTGGATAATTTGGAATATTGTCGACTAGTTAAGCGCACGGACCGCTCAAACGCTGCGGACCACACGCGGCGCGGCTGAAATGTTGCGGGAGCATGACTTGTACAGCGAATTTGTATTGGGGCAAGCGCTTTACTTCGCGGCGCCTGCTCCGCAGTGATGTCCAGTCGTGCGGTCAACGAATCGACTATACTTACGATTAGCTTTGACTTACTCACATACCGATCTAGACCAGCGCGTCTTACCACATTAAATGCCATTTAGTTTTCTATAGTAGCTTTAATAATCGTTTTAGACGCAGATCGTGTAGACTGTCGTGTCTGCTTAGTGCAGCTCAGCGATTTCTTTGAAGTCTGCAATCTGCTGTTAGCATTTAGGGCATGTTCGCGTTTCCATGAAAGATAGAGGACACAGCACCGCGGATAAAGTTTTTCTAGTAACAATGCTTATGTGAGAGTCACTATTTTGTCAAACTCGATGTCGCATGAATCAAGCAAGCGGTATATTAGGCGACACCGTGAAGGAAGCTTCAAGAACATCTTGGTTCATGCGATCGGCTCAGCAAGGGTGAAAAAGGCAGCCAGTCATAACATGATAGGAACTGCTTTGATGGTGTGCACGGCTCACGAAGAGCGGATTGAGTCACGGAAGTTTGTGTCGTAACTCGCCCGCAGAATAGATATGTATTGCAAGAACATCAAGGTAGTACATGTACTGTTGCGAAAATAGATCCAAACTCAAAGCGGTAAGATCCTTTTTTGCATGCCGCTCATTTCGGACGAAGATAGCAAAGCGATCAAACAATGCATTTATAGAGTCCAACCGCACAATGATGTGATGCTTGTCAGTATTCGAATGCTAAAATAAAGAGTTCATGCGCAGATTTTATGATCGCGAATATAATGGAGCATTGTACTGTTTGTCTCTATGGGAGGATAGAGAATTGCGCAAAGACAGGTGTGGTGTATCAGCCAGAATGATGACTTGCCATGACAGCTATATCGGAGAAACTGATAGAAATCTAGGAGTAAGGTTGAAAAACATCCAGCCAGCCAAAGACGGAGGAACTTCAACAGCACCTCGGAAGGTATGAGATTGAGGCGGACTAAGGAAATGATTATGAAGTAAAATGCACAACCTCAACCTTTGAAACTGACGTATGAGTGCGCCAAAATACTCGAATCCTCATGGGTTATGGTCAATAATATAGAGCTGAGTGTTAAAAATGAGTGCTTGTCTACCAGAAGTGACTTGGCTCCATTCCATATATCATTATGTGAGCTAGTGCTGCACATAAAAGACCACGACGTACTAAATGACACTCGGTGACGTCTATTACAAAGGTTCGGGCTCGCTGGGTGGAGTCGTTCGTTTCCTGGCTTGGAGAACTTCAAGCTGTGAGTCTCATAAGAGAAGGATGCTTGGTGACCGTGGCCTAATGAAATGAAACGTACACCATTGAATGCATTTTGAGCGCTGATTCCAAATCTGTGCTGTATCTCCTGTGCGCCCTTTAAAGAAGTTATGAACATTTCTTGCCATCAAAATTTGCACTGTTTTGATGACAAAATTCACCAATATCGTTAGAATGTTCGCTTACGCACAAAAGAGCGTTCAAGTAGATTAAAGCTTATGTTGAGCTCAGGAGAACTGTCTCCGATATATCAGAATTCAAAAAGCCTGTACTATTCTGACTGCTTGAATCTCGTGAAACTAAGATGGAAAATAGTCCATAACTTCTTTCAGAGAATCGCAAAGCAGATAATGAACATAGACTTAGGATTGCTGTTTTTGCATATACTGGTATACATCTTGCTACAGAAGGCCACGGTCACCAAGTAACCTTCTTTTGTCAGAGTAAATCTAGACTGACACAGTGGGTAGAGGCACTTGAAGGTACGGTGAGCGAGTGGAAAAGCCTACAATCCGTTATCAGACCTCTGATGACGATACCGATGTCGAAACGTTAGGTAGATAGACTTCACTGCAGAATCTAGTTGGCATACACAATACTGAATGATACATCTTGCCGGGGTTTATTTTGATACAATTTTGTCATAGCAACATTGTATGCATGTTGTTCAGATTTTTATCATGATCTACCCTGCGCTGTAAGCAAGCCAGTGCCTATTTTAATATCACTTTTAAATTCCGCGCGCTCCTAAAGAAACACTTTAAAGCATGTTAACCATGTTATAACATGATGTTGAAGCAAAGCAGCATGTCTGCGAGGTAAAGTGTAGGTCATTTATAAAACCGTGACGACGGATTTGACTCCGGTCTTTGCGCCCACAGAACCATAAAACACTACGAAAAGGCCATCGTCTCAACGCTCAGGCCAATCACTTTTGGTGTCTAAATGCTATCGTATGTAAGCAAAAGAACCGATCGAGTAGAGATGAAAACCAAGAAAATGAGGTTGCCGGAAGATGCGTGCGTTACGCGCGCGTTGCGCCATCGTCACGATCTTTCGAATGCCCTATATCTGCACTGAAATGCTTTATAGTACCCCTTTTGATTTCTGACCCAAAAATGAAGTCCTATTTGACTTCATTACATCTGTGCTTGGCCTTGGTTTTCACCGTGATAAAGTGTGATAGAGCTTCATTCATGATGTATTATTGCACTTTTAATCAAGCACCTTTTTGCACAATAAGTCTATGATAAATCAAACCTGTAGGCAACGCTGTTTGCCATCTCTGGTACGTCTACCATGAGCATCCCAATATTGAGCACTTCAGCGTTCACCAGTTGAAGCAGATTTGCCTAAGGAACAAAGAGGTTGTTAAAATGGATGACGGAGTAATTATGACGTACACTGTATCATTCATTCTATGACCAGGAGACGCGCGACCGCATTGCACACATTGTCTAAACAAGCCTAATCGTGTCCTTGGCAGGTTCATACTTGTCATTTATCTCGTCTAGGTTCAATCACTCTTTGGAAACAGGGAAGAACAAACTTAAACTTGTTAAGGCAGTGTCCGCAATGCGGTTTCGCGTCTCTTGGTCTTAGCATAGATGGCAGTTATTCCGCGCAAGTGGTTGGCATGAAAGGCGTGACTGTTTATTCACGTGCAGCTTTTACCGCATGATCTCGGCACCGCGAGCACACTATGTTGAGCATATCTGCTACAGTCGTCCCAGCGCGACCAAGCCAAAATGTTGGCGTAAAGTTCCATGAGCGCAGCGTTTGCGCGGCATAAGGGTTTGCGGTTCATAAGGGTTTGCGCGGCATATGCGTCTTGCCGGAGAGAGAGAGCAGATAAGCAAGCCCTAGGCTGACGCAGTATCGTGGCGTTGCGGACGCTCATCCATTGAAGGCAGATCCGCTTTGGAAATAACTATAGACTGTACACATACACAACACCTGAAGATTTTTTTGAGGGAATTGGGAGAGGAGAGAGAACGTGATCGAATGTTCTATAAGTCCTATGAGACGTTTCATGTTTTATAACGTTGGCAACGAACTCCAAAATTGAGCAGCTCAAATTGTTTACTCCTACTCCTCGCCCTCAAAAGGAATCACGCGCCAATTTGCACCAAATTTAAGTAAATGTTTCAGCTTTCAGTCAAGACACATAAACACATCTACGTAGCTCGTTTGAATTTCCTACATTTCTGTAGAAATGACTTTCCCAATGAGCGGGAGAAGACGGAAGGGATTTGTGATCTTGCTTAGTTCATTATTTCACAACCCTATTTATTAGGTTGTTGCAAAAATAATGTCCGTTTTGCAACTTTTCACTTTGGACGGCTATAACTTCATTCAGTCTTCATATTTTTGAATGCAGTTAAGATCATCAGAAATAGCAACCTTTCGTAATTTAGCGCGCACCTGCTCGTACTGATATCTAAAACGAAAAGAAATGCGTCAAAAAAGTGAAACTTTTTCTTTTGAAAACCTCGTCTTTAAAAGCTTACAACTCCCTTCAAATTTGGTTCGTTTAGCTGGCAATCAGCTTATTTTGTAGCCGCAGGCTATGACTTTACGCATGTTTAGAAAAGACTCCAAAGAAGGAGTTCTGCGAAAAGAAAAGATAAAAATTCAAAAATGTTCACTTTTTTGAGCCTATTTGTTGTAGGCTTGTGAGTGCCAAATTATGAAAATTTGGAATTCTTCGCGCACTGAATAGCTAAATTTCTCTTCAGATATTGTAGTTGAGGTGTGCTTTTCTCAAGCTTACAGAAGTGGGCGAAGCTTTGGTGATTGCTTTAATTATGAGAAATTTCTGACCCACAGAATGTCAGCAGCGAGCATCTATTTCGAGGCGTCAATTTTTCAGTACAGATATCTCCAAAAATCTAAGTAAGCACGCAGTAGGTAAACAATCTTCATCTAATACAGTTGCTATGTTTTTAGAAGAATTTGTTTATTTGCCCCTGAATTTGGTCAAGAAACTGAAAGCTATGAGATTTCGATTTTGAGTGCCGATGTGCAAAACGCTAGTAAAATCCTCACAGATGATGATAGAAGCTCAATTCCACCACCGTTAGAAAGCACTTGATGAGAGCTTTCTAATGATATGCAGATTCTATATCGTAGAAGAAAGATTGATGGAAAAACGTCGTTTGGAACATAGGTATAGAAAAGCGGACATTATTTTTGCAACAACCTAATACCATGAACTGTGCGTAGCTTGGAACTTGCCGAGCGGGAACAGAAAAGAATTATTACAATTAGATTACGGACAATGTTGACGACGACGAAAGAAATACGAGCTACGCCACATTATCGCCCTCATCAAAATGTTCGTTTCACGAATTATTATTGAAAAATCGTACAGAGCGTGTTTTTTTTTGCGAGGTAATTCAATAAAGTTTACCTGTGACAGCCAATGCAGCAACACCAAGAACATCGTGTCCAGTGCTACTAATAGAAGATACGTAGCACAGATGTGATGTAGCGGAAGCCATCAACTTACGCATTATTAGGCCAGGGGTTTCATAGAGCATTTTCAGTGCTTTATTGGTAGCGATAGTGCTAAGATCAGTGTTGCTTGTTCTTTGCAGATGCAGAGATAAAACATATGCTGAATAGATGCTGTAAAAAATTTGCACATCAAAAAATTTGTTTTTTCCACTATGATTCAAAAAAATTTCAAATCACATTTTCCACCAAATACCCTTTCAATGGTAATTTTTGATTTTTCTATAAATAATATGCGTAATCGTGCACAAATCGTTCAGCGATTTATTAGATTACATTTGAATAAATAATAATGAAGAGATAAGTGATTCCAATGGTGAATGTATAGAAGTCTGATGAGGCACAGAAGAGGATGCGTCGATACAGACAATACACCAGTGAAGTACCTTGAAGTGATCACTCAACCGTCACTGATTTGGCCAAATTTCGTGGGCGATCAACCTAAAGAAAAAAATTTTTGGTAGAAGATAATAAAACGTCTTTGAAGATTTAAAAATAGCTAGCTATTGCATTCTTACCTAGACTCGGCACAAATGTATAAGCATGCTAGATATATTTTTGGGACAAAAAACAAACGGGATACCGCTTTTGTGTCCGAAAAACACAAAAAACCCAACTTATGTGACGTTGTTTTAGTCGACGTTTTGTTTTGAGGGTTTTACGTTAAGGGTTCAAGGTCGAAGGGGACTTCGTAAAATTTGGCGAAAGTCAAAGGGGACTTCGCTTCTTGCATTTTCGGAAAGCCACCTCGTGCCGAACGCTGATTCTTACAAGTGACAAAATGTTAGCAATAACAAAAAGAAAGAACTAACATTTTGTCCGTTGAGCTCGGCAATGTGGTAAGATAATAGTTGCAAAGGGATAACTGTCAAAATGTTCTGCACGCAATCTACAGTCTTAGGGACCCTCAAGACGTGCTTCATACCCGCCAAATCCTAAAAAAAGATTTTTAGCAATCGAAATCACACAAGACGGAAGCGAAAGAAGTGGAAAAATAACCTAATACCAACCTTTTCTGGAACAGAATCATCAGCAATAATGATAGGCGCACCACCACGCGCGACCACTTGTTGTAAAGCGTTTAATGATTTCTGAAAAATTGCAGTCAAATTGGCCACGAGCCAGATCCCTATAAGAGTACCTTATAAACAGAATCATTACAGATAACCATACATATACGCAAATTTTCGTCTACCATTGCCAATGGACCGTGTTTCAGCTCTCCAGACATTATTCCCTCGCAGTGCATATAAGACAGCTCCTGTAGCATACAGAGTAAGTGTATAATATCCTGAAGTAAGCAGGAATGGATACCTTGATCTTTAGGGCACCCTCAAGGCAGGTGGCAAAATTGAAGCCTCTTCCCATAACAAGAAGCGACTTCTCTTTGTAAATCTCGTTAGCAATCTTCAGCGCTTCATTGTCCAAATTTAAAACTTCTTGAATAAGCTCTGAAAAGCAGGGTCTGATGCACCTTTGCAATTGCATGCATTCGGTTGTTTTTGATTTATTGTAGGTTCGAGGATTTATGATACTACTGAAGGTTTTTTACCGATTGTGACGATGTATGAAAAGACATAAAACTTCTCAATTACCTGGTAACTGATTGAGAGCATTGATAATCTCTTTTCTCCTATTCGTTTTAGAAATACGATCATCTGACAGGACCAGCGCAAACATCAATAGTGCAAGAATTTGTGATGTGTAAGCCTAAACGAGAGGATCACTAGGGCCATTCAGACAATTTTTTTCTAAAAACGTCCCGAATTTTACCTTAGTGGAAGCCACTCCAATTTCAGGTCCTGCATTTATGTGAATTCCACAGTGGGATTCTCGACAAATGGATGACCCTACAGTGTTTGTAACGCCGATCAGCAGAGCTCCACGAGGTTTGCAGTACCTACACCGTAACTCATCAGTTAGAATTAGGGAGTAGCTCAAAAGAGCAACCTACCTCAATGCCATGAGAGTATCAGCAGTTTCGCCACTTTGTGAAATGAATATGCATACGTCATCACGGAATATCGGTGTTTTTCTGTCCAAGAAGTCTGACGCTAATTCAAGCACCACTGGCAACTCGGAAAGCTCTTCGAGAATCTGAATTTGATAATAGTTTTATGCAAGCAAAGCTCGGAGTAAATCCCTTACCTGACGGCAGGCTATGGCTGAGTTATACGAGGTACCACAAGCGACCATAATAAGCCGCCGACATCTCTTGATGTCACTTACGTAGTCCTGCAAATGTCTTTCATGGTAGAAGTCGCGCAGGGTAACTGGTGGAACCGACCTTGATTCCTCCCAGAACCACCTCACCGCTAGGCAACACACGGCCACGCATTGTATTTACTACAGATTCTGGTTGCTCGAAGATTTCCTGTAATGAAGTTTGATGCATATATTTTGCTACGAAATCTATAGAAGTTCGTAATCTTTACTAACTTCAACAGGATCGGATTCGACACAGTATAGAAAGAAAAATATTGCGTCCATTAAATTTTACTACAGTCAAAATTCTTTGCATACAAGAAAAGTTATCAGGGAGAACATGCAAAAAAGTGGCTTTTTTATTGTAATCGCTGAGGTAGCCAAGATGTCTGCTGAGATTTGAGTGCAGATTTCTTGGTTTCTTCACGGCTTGGTTTCTTTACCTAGGAAAATTCGTGCTGTTCGTCCTGCAATAACTAGGTCGAACTCTTTTTTATTCAACTTTTCAACCCAACCAAAATCTCTATTATGCGTAATAAAATGCAACATTCATTATATTAGTATTAATAGTCCGTAAAGAGTGTTATAAATTGACTCTTGACTATTTTTAAACGTATATTTCGTACCTTTGCGCAAAACTTATGCATCAACACAATGCCTAGAAAAGTACCGTTTTAGAGATTTTCAAATTTTTGGTCGAGGTTTCGCATTTAGTTTCTGAGCCAATTGATGGAAAAGTCAAGGGGTCAGACATTACCTTTTGCATGAATGTCTTGAAATTTCCCTTCATTATCTCTTGCAGTTCCATATTCAAATTTTGAACTTCTCTCTTCTGATCGATGTTCTCCGCAGTGCTGCTTGTGATGCTGTGGATAGTAAGAACTAAATAATTGTTGATAGGGGAACTAGGCATATCAACATGGCCCACATACCTCCATCCTTTACGACAGCTACGTCGTCATCTTCCAGAAAGAGCACTTGCTTTGTATGCTCGATAATAGCTGCTGCATCGGAAGCAACGAAATATTCTACCTAAAAGGTTCCAAGTTCTAAGTGTGATAACTTAGAAAATATGTACCTCCCAGTCATCAGAGTCGAATGGACGTACATTAGTGGAAGTTTTGCCCCGCTGTGCTGTTCGAGGGCCTGAAGTGTATGAGTGACTGTATATCCTCTCTTATGAGTCTCCGGTATGCAACTATTGAGCTAGCATGGCAGAGGTTTATCGCACACTCTTAATCTACAGAGGACTCGATCCTTGATGATATAACATCATATAAACTCAAAGAGTCTTCTCCAAAAAATCGAAATCTGAGAATGATTGACCCGCTACTGAGATTTAACATATCCAAACTGTCCTTGAATTCCTACTGTTTGGTCTCTGAGTACAAAGCGATTATTTTTGTTCATCTAGGTCATAAAAAATGGATTGGGCAAAATTACTACGATATTGTGCGCGGGTAAGATGATTTATTGAGTTGACCCATAATTTTCTTCCTTGCATACTGAAGCTATTACCTATCAGAACCAATCATGCTTCGAAACTTGACAAATTTTGCTGGGAAAGCTTCCCAATTTAGATAAGTTTTGAATTTTGAAACAGATGTGCGCCCAATTGCACAGAAAAATATTTTGTTAAGCCGCATCAGCTCAATAAACATATGGATACGGGTGTCGTCTTTGATTTGGCTATGGAATGTACATATAGGAAAAGCTTGCGAAATCCGGGAGTTTCGCAAGATTTTCCACTAACTTGAACTCATGCAATTTGCTAAATATTGACTGTAACGCATCTATTAAGAGTAGGAAATTGTGTTTACTCGACTTTGTAATATGATTCACAAGCGCTCACATAGTTACACACTACAAACTCCGCCTCCATGATTGCCAGGGGCCGAAAATGCCCCTTCGCGATCATAGTCTAGATTTCAAGGTACTTAATGTCCGCAACTCAACATCAGTATGAGCAAAAAGAGCCTCGTAAGATTTCTTAGGCAAAATCATTTTAAAGTTGATTTTTTTTCGATTAAGTTCGATTCTTGAGCGTATCGTGTTTTGGATGAACGTTCAATGTCATTATTTTGGATGAACGTTCAATGTCACTAGTCTTTTGCGGAGTTTATTTGACTTTACCAGTAGGACAAACCGACAAAATTCAGTCTGTAGCCTTTTGCGAGCACTATTTTGCTATCTTCAGAATCTCATCTGAGTATGCTTTTGACTTACCGGGAGATATGTCTTCCACAGTGGTATCCTGAGCTAGGAGGTCATCCGAAGAAGGTTGACGCACTGAAATTGTGGTAATAGAGCTACGCTTGGAAAGAAGACCCATGAGAAACCAAAGTAGTTGGAAACCAAAAGCGATAGTGTAAGAAGTGCTTACAGTGAATGGTATGAGATGAGACAAATCGACGGGCTGAAATAGAAAGATGAAATTAATGAACAATAAATATGTGCAAGCAAAGTTGAAGTTGGATAGACATAGCACCCGAAAAGATTTTTACCCAAAAAATAAAGAATTCAAGTTCAAAGATTAGTAAAGTGTCAAACATGAAGCAAAAAGTATTTGGTACGTAATTATGTCAAACAGTTGTCCGTAATGACATTGCCTACTCACCAACATGTCCTTTTACACATACACCTAAGAGAATAACTTTATTTTCGTGAGCTACATTTGTGAAGTTATAGCAAACGTGAAATTTCTTCGTAAAAAGTAGATGGTCTGCAGCCCCACTTAACAAGCCATATTCTAGGTATATTCCTTCCCAGAGAGGAAATATAATAAACGCGTGATAGCAATGAATCTGTGTTTCCTCCTTAAAACTAGGTTGTTCCGAAAGTTCTGTCCGATTTCTAGTTGTCTTATTTCAACGCAGCTAGTTTCTTGGAGTTTTGTACTTGTCGTAGAAATAAATACGAAAATCATCTGAAAGCACTTTTCTTAAAGGCAGTGCGTCGGCAGAATGAGACCCGTGGCAAAAGAAGGTCACAGGGTAGGAGTCCCATAATGGAACCTATGGGCCAAAGTTCGGTCTTTCTCTGCCACTTCTAACCCTCGAAATTTCAAAGCGAAAGCAGCGCTCATGTCCTGTCCTCTCCGAACCCGCCCACCCCGTGGACGAGTGACTTCCACGGTCAGAGCGCCAACCGCAATGCTATAAGCATGAGGGTCCCGCAACGACTCTGCGTCTTCGCCATGACGGGCTCCGCGTTCACTCGTCCATGTGGTGGGCGGGTTCGGAGAGGACAGGAGGAGAGCGCTGCTTTCGCTTTGAAATTTCGGGGTTAGAAGTGGCAGAAAAAGATCGAACTTTGGCCCATAGGTTCCATTATGGGGGCTCCTACCCTGTGACCTTGTTTTGCCACGGGTCTCATTCTGCCGACGCACTGCCTTTAACCTTTCTAGTGCTCACTAATGCTTTACAGAAAATCTTCTCAGTGATGAAATTCCAGGCCCCAAAGCCAAACTGCCATACTGTCAACAAGCAGCTCAAGAAAAGGTTTCTACAGGGGGAATTTACGCAGTCGTAAAATCAAATTTGTAATAGTTTATAATGGATCAGGATATAATGGGCTAACATACGCACACTTTATCTCCACCAAAGCGAACGTCTTACTTTTCCATTCTCAAAGGTGGTAGACAAACTCAGTTTTACAAAAAGCAACAACAGTCTACGTATAGTGAACGGTGTACACTCAATAATGCATACAATAGAGTAAAACGAGCGCAAGCGGAATCGTTGGCCAGTTAGCTTTCTTCGTTCGGGCAAGAAAAAATCTAATATTGGAAAGTCCGACCCATTTGCATGCAAAGGAGGGCTCAAATAATGTATTTTCTTGATTTGCTCGTAAAAATTTCTGTGCAGTAAAGATAGCTCGAACTCTTTTTAGTCTGAACAATAGGCTCCAACGATGACAGCCACACATGTCCGCGTATCCTTATATGGAAGCATTTGTACGTCAAAGTGAATGGTTTAGAGGAAACTCTGCAAAATTCCCCAGATTTTCTCTCCTGTCTCTCTTGCTTTGTTTATACGTCATACCGTGCGTTTGATAGATGTAATCTCGCTTAATCCAACAAAATTTAATTTGTGCAAAAATGTTGTTTTTGAAGAGAGTTATAACAGTTTCAATCAGAAAACCTGCGAATCGGACAGAGATCTCAGAACAACCTGACTGAAAAAGTAACAATGTTGTGTACTAAGACTAGAAGAAAACTATGAATTGCATTACGTTGCTTGTTCGTATTTTAGCAGAAACTGGTACTGTGTGACAACTTTATGGGGTTGAAGAACTGGTAAATCAAATTTTTCATCAAAAGCGATATCAAATGATAACAGATAGAAAGCTGTTCTAATCAAAAGATTTATGAAAACTTGTCCATCTACACAAAAAGTAGCAGCCGCGTTAAGGATCAGACAAAAGTGGAGCTTACACTTGCTGTATGACGTTTTCTAGTACTAGTGTTGGAGTAAAATCGTGCCGTACTAGGAATAGCACCACAAAAAAAATTTGGATTGTGTTAAGAGTAACTTGATGTGGAAATGCTCATAATTTACTGCTCCATAGAGCGAAGTATGTATACGGAGCGCAGTTTTTTGTGCACGAGATATGAGCAATCGTATTATTCAAAGCATGGCGATTCACCAAACGTAGTATGTAGTTCTGCAGCGCGGATAAAATTGCAAAGAAATCAAATCATGAAAGAACTGCGTGGATCAGAGAGTTGCGTTTTTTTAAAATTTAATTGCTTCCACGCCGCCTGAGAGTACCTAAGGCCCAAGGCATAGTACACTTTCAGTCGGCACGTGATTTGGTAATTTGCCAGAAGTCTTCAAATTCAATACTGGTAGATCCCACATGCACAGCATGTATAGCTGTAGAAGTTCGATAAAATGCCCCAACTTCCATACATACAGAAAAACCCCTTACGATGAGTTACGACAAGTTGGAGTATTGGCAAATCGCGTCGCGACTGAAATCGCGTGAGGTATGTTTTTGGCCTAAGGAGGGTCCAGCCAAGCAAAAGTCATTTACTTTTCCTTGCGTAATTTTCAGTCACTTTTACATAAATTTATAGACATGTTAAGCCGATTACAGTAACGAATCTTTCCAAATCGGTTTATCTTTGCTAAAGTTATAAAGTTACAGTGTACTAGTAATAAGGCATGCTTGCTAGTAAATTATTGTCTCTATTCTTTGCTCGCTGTTTTCGTCTAAGAATCATTCTATAATAAAGAATGGCAAGGTTTTGCACTTACATGTTGACAAGTTGCAGACTGAGGCGAGTGATTGCGGAGGGTGCGGAGGGTGCAGATTGTCTACAAGGCTAGCGTGTTTTCGTAGGGGTACAGGGGGTGGTAAATATCGACTCTTTTCGAGGAAGGCATCCAAAAGGGGTGCGGTTCTTAAGTGCAAAAAGGCTATAGTTGGGAAGGGGCCGACACTCTCGTAAGGTTGCTAACAGTACCCCCCCCCCTCTTTCGCAACTTTCAACTCTCTGTTGTATGATTGATTGACTTCGTGTGCTATGGGTTATCGGTTGGTTCTTTGCCTTTACTTCGTGCCAGACTCTCTTTTATAGGGTTACTGGGTGGTTCTTACTTCGTCATGACTTCGTGTCAGTCTCTGTTCTGTATCGTAGTTATCATCATTGAGAATGATCACGACCATCTTATACATTCTGTATTGATTCGTCAACGTTTTCCTTCCTGTTCATTGAAAATCAGTGATGACTGATGCACACCTTTGTTGTTTGTTTTTGTAGGTCTATAAGCGTCTCGTAGAGCAGTTCTTGCATGTCAGTCTGTGAGCTATCCATGGATCAGTTGTACCTCTCAATTATCTGTCTGTATAGGGTTCGTGGCATAGTTTTTGTGGAGTATAGGGCACTTCTTACAGTAATCGTTTGTAGGGCGCTTCTTTTTCGGACATGGGCTTGTAGTTAGCCTCAAAGTATCTCTGCAAGCAACCCAACGGGCTTTTCACCCGTAGACAGCGATTATTAGGCGCAGTTCCTCCTCAGATATTGGTCTATTTGGGGCGTAAAATATCATCATAAAATATCATTCGTATTTTTTTCAAAGGTTTTGTAGGGTGGTTTTCCTCTAATATAGTTCTCTAAGTGCCTCATATCATCATAAATTATCATTCGTATGAAGTTCACTATTGGTCTGCGCGCATCCCATAGGGCACCCTTTTTGAAGAGACGGTCTGTAGGCGGCCCATTGGCAAATCTTTTCTTATAATATCGGTCTATAAGCTCCCTATGGGGCAGTTTCTCTGACGATTATCGGTCTGCCCATAGGCAGCTTTTTCTTGGTATGCCGGTCTGTAAGAAGATCATACTGCGGTTCCTTCCTTGAAATGGTTTGTAGACCCTATGGGGAAGATCTCAAGATTTTGATCTGTAGGGGCTTATAGGGTAATCCTCTTCAAAATATTGGTGTGGTAAGCGGTCCATAGGCAGCTTTTTCTGTATTTCGCTAATATCGATGGTGACTCATAGGACTGTTTTTCTCAAAATTTTGTTCTGTAGTTGATCTAAGACAGTAGGATCCTAGGTTTGCTATCGCCCTGTAGGCGGTTATGCAGCTCCTTCTCTTATGAGAAAGGTTGCAAACGGCACATAGGATATATTAGAAAACAATGTTTTTTCTTGTCAGATTTCGAGACAGGGCATTTTCTTGAGTTCTTTTATTGTCGATTTGAGATTCGGGCTCTTAGGCTGCGTTCATACTGATCCTGAAGTCCGGGAACAGTTCCAGCACAGGGCTCAATTCGAGCGCGGTGCTGGAATTGTTTCCGAACTTCCTGTTCAGTGTGAACGCAGCCTTAGGGTTAGGCCAGACTGCGCGACGTACGCGGCGTACGCAGCGTACGCCGCGTACTCTCCTATGATGAAACATATTGAGCGTACGCAGCGTACGTCACGTACGCCCGTACGCCGCGCACTCTGGCTCAACCCTTAGGCCTTGGGCAGAGTTCACGCTATTTCATCGTCGCGATTTATCCCAACAAGACAAGTGTTGCGAGTTAATTGCATGCCTGTATTCTTGTATTTCGGTTGTGATAGTTAGTCACGATTAGTCGTGTTGGAAAACTACCACAGCCGAAATGCAAGAACATCGGCATGCAACGATATTTAAAGTTGTCTTGTCGCAATGAAATCGCGTGAACTCTATTCGAGGCCTTAGATGACTCTTAATGCAATTGTTGGAGATCTGCCTAAAAATGATTTTTAGAAAGAAATTAAATACTTTTATCAATCATTCTGTATTGCCTAGAGCGGTGTGATGCAGTAGAACAGTCCGAATTATGCCTCTCTTCAGTGCTAAAGTGACAGCGGCAGACTAAGGAGGGGGATTATGTCCGCATGAGACGTTAAGAGAGAGGGAGAGCGCCGTGAAGAGGAAGGATTCGATTCCGAAAACTTGGCTAAGAAAATTAGAGAGAACAATAAGAAAACGAATCCCTATAACTTTGCTTGAGAAAAGCAGGAGGAAAATGAGAGACAGTTGCGAAGTCCGCTCTCCATGACTTTTGTTAGTAAGGTAAATGAATTACAACATAATTTTCAGATAGAAAATTCCCATGATTTTACTCGAAGAATCACTGGAGAGATATATAAGGTGTGTTTGGATCAGCATCTCAAAAGGCAGCCTTAAACTGTAATTCTAAATCATAGTCGGAACGCCTATCAAATAAGTAAGATTAACGTTCAAAAGATCCGGCATAAAATTCGATAGTCTCAAAAACTGAAATTCCAGCTGATTACCGACCAATCCTTGTAGGGTCCAGCATCTTCAACACGTTCTCGATACTGTATTCCAACAACGAGCTATCAAAATTGAAACGACTTTCATATCACATTAACGCAACATTTCCATACAGTTCCCGGACTTAGGCCTTATTCGAGTGAGTATCGTAAGCAAAGACTTTGACCTCTATATCCACAGATAGGGCATGAGGACCCGTTTTTTGACTATCTAACGATGAACAGCTGCATTTCGTTTTGGATGCGAGTTTAATCCTGTTTTGAAAATACAGAATCTTCTTGCTCTTTGAACTGATGTCGTTCTAGAATTGAGCGACTTAACTGACGACTTCGGTTTCGGACAGTCATAAATGAATGAAGTTTTAAAACTCGAGCGGTTTTGCTTGTAGTTAACGTGTTTTTTTTGGCAGAGTCAGTATAATGGGTGTGAGATTATCCTAAACTAGCTGGCTTACCCGGCTCCGCCGTATGTTCCGAATAGAAAATTCCATTTCTTAACCGATCCGGACCAAACTTGGCACACATACACTTCGGGCCCCGGCGGGTGTCACAGTCCACTTTTCGTTATCGATCGATGTCGATTTTATCGATTTTTTGCAAAATTTGAGCTAGGGGGCTGGGATTTGGCACAGGGGGATAATCGAGCATGCTGATTACGAATACAATATTAGTTTTCGAAACCGTGCATTACTTTTATCGATTTTATCGATTTTTTGCAAAATTTGAGCTAGGGGGCTGGAATTTGTCAGAGGGGTGTAATCGAGCATGCTGATCACCCCCACGGGGTGATCAGCATGCTCACTTACCCCCCTGTGCCAAATCCCAGCCCCGTAGCTCCAATTTTGCAAAAAATCGATAAAATCGATATCGATCGATGACGAAAAGTAGCCTATGACACCCGCCGGGGCCCGAAGTATGTGTGCCAAGATTGGTCCCGATCGGTTCAGAAATGGAATTTTCTATTCGGAACATACGTACACACAGACAGACAGACATACATACATACATACATACATACAGACAACAGACATTCAGCTTTATATATAAGATGAGGACCTGCACTTTTTAGCTTTTATTTCACAAAATGCAGATTAAAAATGTCTCACTTGTTTCTTAAGCGTTTTCCCGAGCGATACAAGCAATACTTTTTTTGATAATCCCTCTGTGATTTCTTTTCAAGTCTTGGGCCAAATTCACTCCGCAGTGCTCCCCCCTTTATTTATTTCCTGCGGACATACGCAGTTAAGTTTTTGGTTCCTCCTGTGCGTCCTCCGCGGAGTGAGGGCAGATACATTACTCTATGCCATCAGTAACATTTTCGTAAAAGTCAGTAAAACAGTTTGCATTGTTTACATTCTGCGCGCATTGTCGCCTTCGAGGTGCCCTCCTTCCTATTTTGTTAAACTGCTGTTATTTTTTTCTGAGATATTGATTTGATGGTTTGTAGTTAGTTCTTTTTTGATATATTGGTCTGTAAGCGGCCCATAGGGCAGTTCTTTCCCAGAATAATGGTCTGCAAGAGTCCCATGGGGCGTCGCAAAATGTCGGTTTGCAAGCCTTCCCCTCCCATAGGGCGGCTCCTTCCAGTGCTTATCGCTTTGCAGGCGACCCATAGGGCAGTTTTTTTTTCTTGAAATATTGGTCTGAAGAACTTCATGGGGCAGTTCTTTATCAAAGGTATCGGTTTTTAGGTGGCCCGTAGAGCAGTTCTATCACAAAATATTGGTTTGTATGGATTCTAAGGGCGGTTTTTCTTCAAACTATCATTGTGTAGGTCTTTAAGTAGCTGGTAGCTTCATTTTTCATTTCGGTCTTTGGCTGTCCACAGAGCAGATCGCACGTGAGCGCCTCGTAGGGCAGTACAATTTGTAGCGTTGTAGGGTAATTCAGAATATTGGGCTGATCCCCATAGGGCAATGCTTTTTCATAATTATCGGTCTGGCGGAGGAAGGGAGGGGTGGGGGGGGGGGTCGTAAGATGTAGGGCGGCCTCAGCGCGGTTCTTTCTTAGGGCCGCATGCACTAACATCCCCGCGGGGAGGGGATCGCAGCTTAAAAGAAAGTTTTATATTTCGAAACTCCAGATACCTAGGTTTCACGTTGTGTACCTATCCGTAAGTATTCCTACTACCCTTCACTATGAACATGTTGAAGGGGAGCGAGAAGCTGCACAAACCGCATTTTCCAGCTTTAGTATGATCCCTGATGATCCCCGGCGCTTTTCTTCAAAGTCATTTTTCTTTCTCCGAAGTTAACGAAAAACTTCCAAAGTTGTGCAGATTATCTAACCCAACAGTGCTAAGCATGTTGCTGATGAGAACAAGTGATGTATAGGAGACATGGAATTTTCGATGATCCACAGCTCGAAATTTGAGGTTTACCGAAAAATTTGACTTTTCAAAAACTCATTTGTTCTCATCAGCAACATGCTTAGCACTGTTGTGTTAGATGTTCAGTACAACTTTGAAAGGTTTTCGTTAATTTCGGAGAAAGAAAAATGACTTTAAAGAAAAGCGCCGGGGATCATAAGGGATCATACAAAAGCTGGAAAATGCGGTTTGTACAGCTTCTTGCTCCTGTTCAACATGTTCATAGTGAAGAAGGGAAGAGGCTTTTAGGGCAGTACTTTCTAGAACCTGTCTATAAGCTTCCTACAGGGCAGTTTCTTTTTTGTAAAGGTCGGTCTGTAGGGACTTGTAACTTCTCAACACATCGGTCTATTAATGGTCCATAGGTCGTTTTCTTCTTATAATTACCTGCCTGCAGCGGCGCATGGTAGGTAGTTAGTCTCTAATATATTGGTTATGAAAGAGGGGATGAAAGATATGTTTAGCAGCTCATAGCTTTTCTTGTTCTCAAAATATTAGCTTGTAGTATACATAGGGCGGTTGCTTCCTATGATATTAGTCTCCAAATGGCTCTTAGGGCATTTTTTGTAAGTTGGTTTGATTTGAAGGGCAATTTCTTCTTGAAAAGTCGGTCTATGTACGGCCCACAGGGCAACCTTTCCTCGAAGTGAAGGTCCGTAAGCGGCTCATAGATTTCTTTTTCATGGGCAGTTTGAAAATATTCTTTTCCTGAAAAATATCGGTTCGTAAGCAGCAGCAGGGCAGTTACTCAAAAATGAGGATGTGTATGCGGCCCATAGGGCACTTCCCTTTCCTTCTAATGACTGATTACCGTCCGCGGGCGGCCCCTAGGGCAGGCTTTTCCATCTGAGTGGCCCATACGGCTTCCTTGCAATATGGTTTGCGGGGGAGGGGGGAAGGGTGTATGACAGATTTATCCCAGACTTATAATATTATTTGTGGTTCGTGTATGACAGATTTATCCCAGACTTATAATATTATTTGTGGTTCAAAGGGCAGTATTTTCTCAGATTACCACTCTATAGGAGGACAGCTCTGACGTATATCGCTCTGTAGGCATTACGGGAGCGGTGTTCATTCACAAAAAGTGGTCTGTAGGCGACACGTAGTGCATGAGAAAAGATGCTTTTTCTCGCTGCCGTAATTTGTCGGGAACTAAGGTATATTTTTGAGTGTTTAGCTAACAATAAATTATTGTAGATTACATCGTTGTTTCGAACGACTGCTTGGTGACTTCCAATGGAGAATGGTGAAAAAAATTTGGCTCAAAGAAATTTTTTAAAAGGTCAAACGATATCGTCTAATCAGCAAAGAGGATTTTTGGAAGAGAGTCAAAGGTCATTGTTAATCAGTCTCATGTTTTTCGGAACTAACTTCAGAAAAGGTATAGAACGTAGAGGTAATTGTGGTGACAAGATATAGAACGTAGAGGTAATTGTGGTGACAATTATTCGGCTAAAATGTATTGCCCGAACCCATTTGCAAGCGGCCCTTAGGGTCGCTAGTCCTCTCTATCGCAGAAAGTGTTATGCTCCATTTAGCGCGGGTACCTTCTTTCTTCCATAGTCAAAGGGCAATAAGATGCATATGATGATGTGATTAGTTCCTCTAGAAGAATTTGAATTACCTATAGTCCATCAAACTTCTTCCTAGGCAATAAGTATGCAATTATACATTACGGAAATTTGAATCAAACTAGTCGTCGTTCAACAAAACATTGGCAAAAGCAAGGGCACACCTCCAAATCTGTATATATGAGTAACTCGAATACGAACACTCATTGCATCTGATGCTCAAGATTTTCTCAAGTTACTGCTTGATAGATTTAGCTTTTCTCGAATATAAGAAACTCACCATCTTCAAGTGACCTGTGTTCGTCAGCCCAAGGAAACGATTCTGAAACCAACACTTTAAGACCCTACTGCATCCTTTCCAAGTTATCTGTAACAGGCAATCTGTGACATAGCTGAGTCCCATAAAATTCAGTCACACCGTTTTGGATGTCTCTCAAAAAATTAAAATCAAGTCTTGTGACAACCTCCTGTAAACTTCTAATGACCGTCTAACTCAATTAGCAATATTATACAGAAAGGTCGACGGGTAGGGGGAGGGGGGGAGGGGCTTTCAACTATATGATAGCATAGTTGGTTGTGACCAGAGCTGCTGGTGCCGCCTAAATCCCAGCGCTGCGACAGCCCTGTGCCGGTACTTTTCCGAGGGAGGTAATGGTCAATACGTAGTAATTCCACGCCGATTCCGGCACGGCGCTGGAACACCTCGGCACACGGCCAACTCTAGATGCATCTGAGGTTCACGTTTTGTACTCAGGTATCTTGATGTTTAGCACTCTCATAAGAAGTTTCGTAGAAAGCAGCAAAAAATTCCAAAAGTTGCTTCACCTATAGTAAGCGTCATTCTAGTGAACGTCTTTGTGCAAATGCACTATAGCCTTAATCTTTGGGAGGGGCAGGTATGGACCGCCGTGATACCATACCTGCACACATTGGCACCATGAAGAGTATTCGTGCTATCACTGCGTATTTTCGACTTCTTCGATGTTTCCGTCTTTTAATTTGCCTTGATTCGGCCTCATGTTCCATTGTGTGCAATTACGACATGCAGTGGGCTTATGAAAAGACGCCTACTCTTTTCTTTTTAATGAGGCTTAATCCTATCCAAATAAAACATTTTTTGGGAGATTAAAATGAGAGTTTGCTGTCATTTTGCTGATCTACTTTAGTAGTTTGTAATTTCGAAACTGCATGTTGGCGATTTTTTTCGTCCTTGCTTACATCAGCATCCAATTTGACCAAAATAGGTGAAAAACTACCGATGCAACCCGAGCTGTCTGCGGCGGCGCGGTTGCGATGCAGTGCTTATTAGGGAAGGATTCCAGGTCACCGCGGGTTTGGAACAAAATGCATATCAGATGCGTCTTAAATGCGTCTTCTTAAGCAAATCCTAAATCTACCTTCTTTCTCTGCTGCGCGGTTCTCTAGAAGAAGTTACGAGCGTTTGAAAGTCCGATTGTGGAGACAATTGTTCATGTGGCGGGTGTATGTGGTATCTTTCTTCTAGTCAGTACACACAACCATGTTAATCAAGCACTCCCAAGCTATTTTCTAAAGCATGTTTGCCCTAGAACCCTAATAAATTTACGTTTAAACACTCATAACTTCTTCCAGAGAACTGCGCAGCAGATAAGGAAGATAGGTTTGGAATCAGCTCAATGAGACGAATCTAATGATATTACTTTGTTCCAGATGGCCACCGTGACTTGGGATCTTTTCCTTTTTGGAGACAATGTGATCGCAAGATGCGCAGACAGTGAGAGGTAAGTTGCTATAGTCAACCCAGCACTGTATTGTCAATGCACTCACCACGGCTGAACAGAACAGGGAAATAATTGGTTTGCAGGCGACTGTTGCTTTTGATCCCAACCAAAAGGGGCGATCCTCGTCGTGTGGCTACTAACTGGCCAGGAAATTTCGATGACTTGAATGCTAAGGCAAATGCGCCTTCCTAAAATATTTAGTCAGTGTTTGGTGGAGATCTGAAAAATATTGCGAAGGGAGAACTTGCCAGCTGCTGGATAACGACTTCAACTACTTGTCGGAATGAGAAGTCCGGATAGAGATCGTGAATGTGTTGCGCAAGTTTCGCAATAACTTCAGTGTCGGTTTCTGACTAAATTATAAACAATCATATAATAGTATGGCAAATTTGACAGTTGATTAGTGTTGCTTTTGTCAGCAACCTTGCGCGTAGAAAATGGCGGACCAGAAAAAAAATGTGCAGCCATTCTTAATATGTGAACTTCGTCGGTATTGCAACATATTATGTCGAATACTGAATCTATGTGATTGTGACTGAAATTGCTCTCAAACCTTTTATCCTGTGTTTTTATGGGCTGCGTTCCAAAGTTACCACTGTTCCAGTGCCAACACCGTGCAGGAACCATGCGGACGCACAGGGCATTGATCGATAGAGCTCCGCTCCCACAAATCCTGCACGGAGTTGGCACAGCGCTGGCAGCAACGCTAAACGCAGTGCAAGAAATCGGTAAACCCACCTCAAACACTTGCCCTTTCTTCTTCAGGTATTCTTTGATTTCACGGTAATTCGTTATGATCCCGTTGTGCACAACCATAAACTCTGAAAATTGAAAGTTTGTTTACAGAGAAAATAATCTTTTTCCTTACCATTTTTTTCATTACTCCTTTGTGGGTGGCTATTTACATCCTTCGGCGAACCATGGGTAGCCCATCGCGTATGAGCAATGCCGCAGTGAACATTGTATTGCATATCCAGATTTAGCGAGTCCGAGCATTCTGAAAAAGATTTTTTGTTGGTGCTTTTTTCTTCCCAGCGGAGAATTATGATCGTTAAAACACATGCGATTGACACCATTTCATATGCTGTATGGCTTTCTAACTTATTTTATGTACATAATTGCTTGATTACAGTAGTGAAGATGCCATATAATGATTGGAGTTCCATAACTTTTGCGTAATATGCAGATAATTTTCAACTTTTGAGATTTCTCGACGGAAAGCTAACAATGATTATGGTCACTCAAATGTCTTGCTATTATAAATTAAGGCGATAGTGTAACAGTGGGCGCGGCAGAGCTCTGACGAAGTTCGTGTCCACATTAGTGAAATGAATAATGCGTCTCTTTGATGATTAATCAAAATTAACTCATTGTCAGACTTTGCTGGGATTATGTTCGTTTCCGCCGTTTCCTCTTCCCTCGACAAATTCAACATGATGACTGGCACAGATGTTTAAAGGCAGCGTCCAGGCAGATTTGGACCTATGGGGATTTTACGTGGAAAGTAATTTTGGGGCCTTAACTAAGGCACTGCCCAAGCGTCAGCGTAGGTGAATCATTAACGGCTGAGATATGCGCCTCCAAAGTGGACCCCAGGATCGTGTTCGCATGTTTCTATAGCAGTTTCGCGCGAGACACACGCTTTGCGCCTTGAATCCGTGCAAAATACAATCCCGGGATCCAGTTTCGAGGGGAATATCTCAGCCGTTAGAGCACTACTTGAGCTGGGCAGTGGCTTAGTTAGGGCCCCAAAACTACTATACACGTGAGATCCCCATGTGTTCAGGCTTGCCTGGATGCTGCCTTTAAGAAAGCTTTTTCCGTTGAATTATGATGTGCTGCACTTAAGCTTAATTTCTTTCTTCTTTCTTATCTTTATTCATCACTCCAAATGGTTAAGCACCAGCATTAGCCTGCTTTTAATCTGTACATTGTGACGTCAACAGAATAACATAATAACGTAATTTTCCAGCGCTATTCGTATACCAACCCACGAAAAAATGAAAATCTCCAACTTGTTAAAACTTCGTATAGGCATAGCTGATATTTGGATCAACGCCGTCTTTGATCGAACAAGGTGTGGGCCCACATACGTAAGGACTATAGCGGACTGCAACAAAAAAAGCACGATACAGCTGTTTGACCACCTGCTCCACATCCGTATCGGGGAAAGAGTCCGACTTGTCGCCAAGCAAATTACCGCGGTACTGCAGGGTGCATGCAGGTCGATCGGGAAACGAAGTGGATTTGCGTGGATGGAATGTACCCTTCAAACCTCCGTTTCGCAGACAATATCGTTTTGTTCTCGATGTCTATTAGCGAAGCCGAAGCTGCTGAACGAATTGAACGAAAGCGGGAGAAGGAGCGGGCTCAGGATAAATCGAAAGAAGACGCAGTTCATAAAGAAACACCTGGAGCAGTGAAAGTTAATTATTTTGGGATGGAGCACCGATAGAGGAGACTTCATCTTACATACGTTTACCTTGGACGCGCCATCAATATGAACAACGACATGGAGGATGAACTCAGCCGAAGTCAGGGAGCAGCTTGGGCAGCATTCGATCCTTCGAGAGAGGCTACAGACAACCTTACTGTTTTGGAACTGCGCGCTCATCTTTTCAATGCGACAGTTCTCCCGGCCTTGTGTTACGAGCCTAAACCTAGGCCATCTCAGCAACCGTGAAGGCACTACGAAGCACACCACTCGAAAGGAGAACTTCTGAAGATGACCTTCAGACAGTGTCGACTTGGAATCCGGGACTCCGACCTCAGACAACTATCGCGTCTAGAAGATCCAGCAGAGTACGTAACGAACAATAAGCACGATAGACCGGTCGCATATTGAGAAGAGAAGACGACAGATAGACAAGAAGAACGTTAGAATGGATTTCAAGATCCTCGAAACCTCCGCGTGGAGGACCAACGAAGAGATGGTGTGACGGATTTGTTGACCGTGTAAACCAACTGCGTCAGCAATTGGAGTTTAATTCGGGATCGTCCAGCAGCAATCTCAACCGCACACCAAGACGACCACGAAACCGTAACGAATGGTCAAAATTTGGGACTTGCACGATGTATGAGCACGGGCCATCTTAGTAATCTGAGTAAGTAAGTAATCCGCCAAGAAAGCACCGAACTCCACCGGAGTTACTGAAATCTGCGTCGCATAGCTTCTTTGTTAGAGTGGACGAATTCGGAATCCAAGGACACCACACAGCTCAGCTTGACTAGGAGCATCTTCTGGTTTGAGTGAGTTGGGTTACCCAATGTGCAATGTATAAGCACAGTGAGTAATCTACCGTAAGCAAAAATCCAAGAAATTCGTCAACTGACCGCCTACCGTGCACGCACCATGTCTAAAAGGGCACTTCTACATATCAGTAGATGCGCTGCGCCGAGCTGAGTCGAACGCTGCCCTTGGAGACAAAATTTACCCATCCTCAACCAATGGCCCTGCGGCGCGAACTTTGGTGAACTCCGATGGCGTTCGGTGTTCTTTTTGGCGACTTATGAGAGACATTGTAATCATGATACCACTCTCTAGTGGCTCTTTATCTTAGAGTAGTGATGTACATGAGTAGAGTCAAAACTACAGACTCACAAATTTAATTGGCACTGGGTCTCGAGGTGTTACATATTTATGATCATCGTTAAAATGATATATGAGACTACAATACATTTACAGTATTCGGTCTCGCCCAATACCGCATCCGTTCAGCCCTCCCATCAATTTGTTCTACTCGAGGTCTGGGTACATTAATCTTAATTGATATGTCACCTACACCCTCCCTAATGAAATCCTAAGCAAAGTGTGATTTTGACCACAAAATATAGTGCTGCATCGGCTACAAAAAATACGGAAAGCTAATGAACTGAATGGAAAATTTCAAAATAAGGCGCTTGGAGATTGGCAATTCAAAAGAAAACGCTTTGATACAAAAAGTCATCAGAAATGGAAAAAGAGATCACACATATTAAAAAAAAAGATTGTGAAGATGTAAACAAGGCATACGATATACTGTTGAAGAACTGTACTTGTTCAACTATAGATGTGAACTATAAAAAGCGGGTAATAGAAAAATTCAAGACAAATCTTTCCAATTCGGCAAATTACTGGTTTGTCAAATATGGTTTGGACTCGGTTTCACTTCACGAAAATTTGGCCTTGAAAATGAGAATGTGTCCTTAATTCCTGATTTCACTTAGAGATACAAAACAACAAATATTTTTATATGACAACCAAGTCCACTCTATCTTTCTGCTCTGTACTTTGCCTTGCCTTTTATACTTGTACTTGACTCCCCTTATTTTTTCTTTTTTAACCATTGTCCTCCGAGCACTTCCGAAGCGCTTAATGGAAAGTATTCTTCCGAATAATAGCTTAGTGTGAGGTTGACTCGCACCACAATAGCCATATATTTCACGAGATCCAAAAACTTGTTAATTCGATTTGAAAAACCACCACAGTGCAGGTAAAGTGAAGGTAAAAGACGAACATAATAGAAAAAGGGCCTATTAGTGACAGATGTTTAAAGGACACTCAAACCACAATTGCCTTAAAAAGGTGTGGAGGCGAAAAACGAGGCAATGCTTGAGTTCCGGGCGGAGCGAGAGTGCAATGTCCATGTATCAGTTTCTTTCCTCATCTTTATTGTTCCACTCATTCCTTTTTCCAGACAAAATTTTTGCTTTTATTTTCTTCGATGCCATTGCATTAGTGCGTTCCAGTAATAAGCGAAAATAATGCACTTTGGCTTTCGAGATCTTTTTATTTTATTGCTACGGAACCTCTAGTTCGGTTTTTGAGGACTTTATTTGAATTTCAACAATGCAGTAAATTTGCTGATTTTATGGAAGCTTTTGTGTATCCAAAGCACTGAGAAAAAATATCAATGCCTTTTTCATCCCCTCCCCTCCCAGGACCGGTATCTCCAGCGGGTGCCAATGCACCCGCAGGAAAGCGTTGTAAACAGCATCTTAAGCATAAAAAGCATGCAAATGCAAATGCACTTTGTATTTTTCTGCAGACCCCCTCGTATCAATCAACATTGAAATGATTGATTGTCCTAGTGAAGCGGGAACCACAGCGTGTTAAGGAAGCAAGACACTACGAAAGCGAAGTGTCCATACATAGCGTGACCAGCAAGTTTTTAGCTGATGAATTTCGTTAACACACTGTAACATCGCAGAAAAAAGTCGTTTCCGCGGTAAAGATTGAATTTGAAGTAGTATAAAAGCAGGGCGGACTCCGACGACGACACCGCCAAGCAACATCATGGGAGATGAGACACACCGCCTGGCGGCGTACCGCTTCGTCGCCTACTCGGCCGTCACCTTCTCGGTGATTGCCGTTGTGTCCATCTGCATTACGTTGCCCATGGTTTACAACTACATTCACCATGTGAAGAGGTCGCTCAAGACGGAAATCCACTACTGCAAGGTAGAACACTTCCACTTCCAATCTCATTTGCTGAGTTCTGACCAATCTGCGATCGTTTCAGGGCTCCGCGAAGAGCATCTGGTCCGAGGTGAATGTGATCAAGAGCATTCCCGCATCCAACAGAACGACTCGACAAGCCGGATCATGTGACGACTGCTGTGCGCCAGGACCCCCAGGACCACCCGGTCCACCTGGAAGGCCAGGTCGTCCGGGAGCCCCGGGAGCTCCCGGAATGCCAGGCGCACCTGGACGTCCGCCAGCGAGACCTTGCGAGCCAATTGCACCTCCACCATGCCCACCATGCGCTCCTGGCGAGCCTGGACCTCCAGGACCCCCAGGACCACCAGGACCACCTGGACCACCTGGGCCCTCCGGAAACGGTGCTGGTGTTGGACCTCCTGGACCTCCAGGACCAAAGGGACCCCCAGGACCAGCTGGAAAGCCCGGACCAATGGGACCACCAGGACCTCCTGGAGAGTCTGCATCTGGCCAAGCCGAACCAGGACCACCCGGCCCGCCTGGACCTCCCGGCCCGCCTGGACCTCCAGGACCACCCGGTACAGGAGCAGGTGGCGGTGGAGCAGGTTAGAAGACCATTCTCCTTTTTGATCATCCCCAACTAAAAATCATCCCTTCTAGGTATTCCTGGACCAAAAGGACCACCAGGACCACCAGGACCTCCTGGCCCACCCGGAAACCCAGGACCACCTGGCGAACCTGGATCTGCAGGAACTGGCGGCGAGCGTGGTATCTGCCCGAAATACTGCGCTCTCGACGGTGGTATCTTCTTCGAAGACGGTACAATGCGTCGTCGTTGAGATCTTCACAGCATTCCGGTGTAGTCGTAGAGCATTATTGCACACTAATCTTCTACGTCTTGTGGAGATCTTCGTTTTTACGAATGAAGTGTGCAAATGCAGATGTGTTTTACAACAAAATAGATAACAAACCCTTGATGCTATCCGCTAGATTCGAGACTTTGCCAGCTTTCCTAATCAACACTGTTTCGTCGTTGGGTGTGCCAGGGTCGCCACCGATAGCGATACCTGAACCAATTTAATGAGATGAAGAAACATTATACCAAAAAATATCTTGTGCCTGCTGAATCGTATCCTCTGTACTCCATCCGTTGGAGACCTTTGATGAGCACATCGATAATCTCGCTACGAGTTTTGGGAGTGAGAAAATTCAAATAAGCGAAGATTCCACACATGGTTTACCGCTGAAAACATCATTATTATAGTAAAATTATGCTCGAGCGAATTGCGCAAACGATCGAAATAGAGCAGATATTCAAGGAAATTTTGTAGATCTGAGTACAGAAAATGTTGTGCAAAGTTTAGGTTCTATAAATGAAAGCAGAGTATAACATTCAAGCATAGATAAAGGAATTTTTTCGCACTATGTATACCTCCAGAAAAAAGTCTTGGAAAACTTATCGTTTTTGGTTCTCTTAAGCATTGCAACAACTGCAGAAAATGCCAGCAAAAATGTTGATGAATGCTTTGGAACCAGACTAATTAATCATTCAAAGTCACTACATTATTCCAAAAATTGACAGTACAATGCTGTGCAAATAGAAAGCGCCCTCTCTACACTCATCCTTAACAGGTCTTAAAATTGAATTTTTGCAACATTCATTGAAGCCTCATTGAGATTCACCTAGCCGCTCTCCCAGTAAATAAGCTTTTATTGCTTTTCAGTGCTTTGCGCAGGACATCTTCGCATTCTGAAACAATCGCTCTAGTCAAGGACAACGCCTTTCAAAAAAAAAACTCGTTTTTTGCCATTTCGCTCGGAACTGTTCTTGCCAGTCGACCTGTTCCACAAAAAAGCCAAATTAAGTGGTTTTCTGCAGGTCTTAGCTGGAGCGACGGTATATAAACCAATGAAATTTGACCATCATCGGCGCTCTAAGGATGACCGCAAAATTGCCCATGCATTTTGAGAGTGAGAAGCAGTGCTGAGACGAGGATACTATTACGCTTGCAGCTCAAAGATAGGTAGGATTCAAAAATTCTGACAAATGGGGGTTTTCCAGAAGAATTTTGCACGCCTCACATCCTTACAATGTTTCCCTCACCAGCATGTAATGTGCTGTTCTTAGCTGACATATCGAGAAAAAGATTAGTTGAATCTTGACTTCGGATAGCTATTCTCATATGTGTACAAGTGCAGGCCTCGTCTTATGCTAGTATTTGGCCATTTGGAGAAGCCATTTCAAGTGAGAATAAGTGAATTTCCACTGCTAAGATTTCAACTGGAATCTTCTGTGTAAAAGTAGCATAGTATTTGAACTCCCACTGAACTTTCTAACCACAGAGCATTGATGCAGAGGGTGGGGTCTTCCATTGTGACAAGTGTACAATACTCTTCCTCCCACTAACTGTGATAGATTATACTTTATAGCCTTTCAAATTCGAAAGCTAGAAATTTGATTTTACTTAGATTGCGTTGATGGTTTTTTCCTCTCTTCCACACATTTTTAAAATATTATATCTATATTTATTTTGATGTTAATGGCATAGCTGTTGTTTTTGCAGTGTATAGGTTGAAATAAGTGAGAAGATTTTGTTAGAACGACAGGAACGATTTTAGCTTTGACATCAGTTGCTCATCAAAAATATATAAAAGAACCGGAGCGTCATTCTAATTACAAATCTGCCAGCGCTCATTCCGTTATGTACTCGTAAGTCGCAAATTTAGGTCAATTCGAGAATGCCAGAAGTTTGAGCAACCTAATTCGGACCAAGGCGATTGGGAGGATTGTATAAAGCCAAATAGTAATATGCAAAGTTTCAGAGCATTTGATGAGAACTTGCAAATCACTGTGAGTTTGTTAGTTAATGTGCTTTATGTCTAATCCTTCAATAAGACATTAGTACAATTTCTTGGACTTTGGGCCCAAAAAAGTCTTGCTCCATGTGCTTTTGCACCAGAAAAAAAATTCGTCAAGTTTACAAAGTGCGGATCCGAGTACGAAACATGGTTGGAAGTCCTGTTTGTCATGAAGCCGTGACATTGTCTTTGCAATGTCTTTTTGAGTGTTTTTTATTTCGACGATAACGACAGATTTCTTTTCTAGCGAGTCACAAAAACGACAACTTCAAGGTTGCAGCCATCACTGTGCGCAAAAAAGCTTTTTTCCGCTTGCACGCACTCTTAACGATAGCCAAAAAAATCCTCTCAAAGGAAAGATTGCTCTAAGATACAGTTTGGTGTTTGCCATGAAACCATGGTTTTTCTTTCAGTTGATATGAAAACCTCGTATTATGGGTGCAAAATGTTTCTCCCTAGTTTACTGGCATGTAAGTCACATCAAGACCATTAAAACTCTTGAAAGCCTTTTCATAATAGAGTTGCTTCATGTATGTCGCTTTTTTTGCCATTCTCGGAGAGTTGATAAGTTGTAATTTCCAGTTAGAAGTCAACGTTCGCTATCATCAATGCAATTGAGCAAACCGCAGATACAATTAGTCTAATAAATTGCCGAAACCGCTCCTTCAACCACGACTCTTCGCATGCGTTTCTAGGTACTTTTCGATAACAACAACTAAAAATTATGGCGACTTTTATGCAGTAGAGGAATTATGCAATTACTAGACCAATCGCACACTAACTTGCAACCTAGTAAGTTTGTGGACTCATTCGCTGGCAGCGGCAGATATTCTTCTCAAGGCTGGCAGCTTATGTTTTTTCTGTTTAAGATTTGACGCGGGGAGAATTCCGTCAAATTCAATAAGGATTAAAGAAAGTAAAAAATCGCCCTTTCAAAAGTAAGTAGTGCACTTATGTTTGTGCAATTAGCGCAGAGCTGTTTAGGAATAATTATCTTGAACAATGGGTAGAAATCTTAAAATGACCTAATTTCAATGTTAAGTCGAGCTAATAGGACCACCAAAAATATAAGTGTAAGTGTGAGAAGTTTCTCGATTGATAAGGAAGGAGCGATTTTTTCTGCTTTTCATGGCTTATTCATTCGCATTCGGAATGTTATGGGTTGGAAGCGGCCACACGTGTTTGAAGTAAAGACTGAGTGGCCCAAATAGGTTATGGCGGCATAGTGAGTTGCGCAAGGATGGGCGAAACTTCAATTTTGAAGAATTTTTCGCTTTTGTCCAGGCAATGAAGATCCGTGAAATTTTTTTGGAAGGGAAAGAGCACTGGACAATGGAACTCTACGATGGTTTCTTTTTGGATACACGGGATCCAGTGTGACATTTTTCGCCATCATGACTCGGAGACTTAAGAAAAATTAAAATGCTAACATGGCGCTGATGCACTAAAGTTCTACTGGCATTTTTGCTTACTTCTCTGTGTTCATCTTTCTTTGAGAATGGCATCGCACTAATGAAGGAGAGTCTGAAGGACGAAGCAGAATAGGAATATCCAAGGACAAGCTGAATTGGAAAAACAGAATGTAATTCTTCCTTCTTGCAATTTTGTTGTTACGAATTTGTTGCAATCCTCAAAGGAAGCACTTCAAAAATCAATCTCGCTGTGATCATGGTCAATAATGAACAGCAGTAGGAGTGAAATGTTGAAGGGCACACATGGAAGTTAGCGGGTCTTAGAAAAGAAAGACTTTTATATAATGTTTAGCAAAAACCATGTGTTTTGACTCAAACTCAATATTTTTCAAAAAAAGATATCGCAAAATATGCAAAACTTCCTTTCTTGACCTTTTCAACAATGGCAGCAGGCTTCTAGCCTTACCTCAATTTTACATGACCACAATTCCATTGCAACAGTTTCTTTACCAAGATTCAAGCGTAAATGAATGATTCTTCAGAACATGCACAATAAAAATTGGTATGCTTTACAGAGTCAATCATACCTTTCAAAATAACTTTGAATGTGACAGACTGGGGTCCAAAAATGGATTGTCGCTGCGGGCATTCTACGATCTAAAACTTTTGTTCGAAGGTAATTGCCAATTTTGTCCATTTCTTAATGAAGTTATGACATCGTGCCTTTTTGCAAAATACTAACAATAACTGTTCAAAACGTGAATATTCGGAGAATCTCATGATAAGATTTCAAGGAATGTAACAAACAGGCTTTCTTTTCTGTGAAAGCCTTCCTCGTTTGCAGTTGTACTAATGGGTTGTCCCCAAACCGTTTCGCTAAATTAATTGTTATTTTTCTAGCAGATTTGGGATTCGATAGAGTACTGCACCGTAATCCACGTAAAGCTTCGAGCCAAAAACTAATATTTTAAATTGTTTTAAAAATCAGGCCTTCCAGAAAGTACTTACAGTCTTCTTCATTTCTATGCACAAAAAAACTCAGCAATATGGATACTTCTATGAACTTCTGTATGACGACCAATTTGAAGGTAGCTTCTTCGGATTCTTTTTTCGCAGAAGTCTTATTTTCAGGTGACAAATTTTCGATTTTGCTCCAAACTTTACCTGGATACAACTTAGGTGGATCTTTGGTGATTATTTTGTAGAGCTTGCTCTGCTCTATCGAATGGTCTGCTCAGGAACGGTATGATTTATTTAGAAGAACGTTTTGCATTTGGGAGAATCTGATAAAATAAAAAGAACAGATAAAGAACATCTGCGAAATGAAAAGTGAACAAAATGCTCTTTTATGTTCGGAAAAGTGAACACATAGTGCAGAATTTGCTTGGAATTTTAGTCCAATCTTGGTATAGAAGATTATGAAGTAGGAACATGATAGTGTTTGATTTGGAGCAAGTAACGATTTCAATAGTTTTTGAGTGCAGAGTATTAAATAGAACTAACTTGGAAAAGGCACGACGTTTACTTAATTTTCAGTGAGATTTTCAGTGTGATAAAAATTAAAGCAAAAGTTTGTAGCGCTCTTCTAGGACAAACTATCAGTAAAGTTTGTTGAGCAAAAATCACAGATCAATAACACTTAATGGCCATTGATTTTTTCATTTAATTCAGTTGCGTATTGTTGAGGCGGGCTGGCTCATAGGCGAGTTGCAATAGGTAATACTACGCTACGTACGCCAAACAAGCCTAGAAAAAAAAGGGAAAAAAGGAGAAAACTTGTTTTCTCATAAAGACAATAGTGCCCCGAGAAATAAAAAACAAGGCATATTTCCGAGTAATGGAAAAGTCTAGTCAGTGATTGTAAACGAAAACTCCGGAAAAATGGTTGATTCCCACGATACACGTGCAGAGGAGGAAGTCTGTGCGGGCGTTCGACCTTCGCGTGCCTTCTGGTGGCCAGCAACTGACATAA